ATTCTATAAAAGCAGGTGCACAACTTCATTATGTATGCAATCTTTCTTTGGAGTAACAATCTGAGTTGAAATCTGCATATGGAGGAAGAGATGATTACACAAAACTGATACTGTTATTTAACCGAAAACTATGACGACTAACTTCAAATGAATGGAAAAGGGGAAAAAATCCTCAAGCAATTCAATAATAGCAGGTGCATAAATTCCATATGCTTGCAATCGTTCTAGCTGAAGTGTCAGGGGGTCCGGGTTGAAAACTGGAGGACTATATGATTACACAAATAAGGTACCCACCATACAGTAAATTTGTTATGACCTTCATCCAATCCTCAAAATATATGAACTGGTAATCGGATTATTACAATTCTGTTCTTCCAAAATCGGGACAATTATGGCCAAAAAAAATGTTGTTCTAATGGAATTCTTCAAAAACTGAACAGAAGAAAAAAAATATCATTTTTGTATTTTTTTCCCCCCTAAATCATCACTTTTTAAGATGAAATTGCCCAATTAATATAGTTTGGCGTTTAGATTAAGCCAGTATTAACAACTGTAAAAAAACCGGAATACTATCATCCTGGTGTATATGTCTACCAAAACATATGCGAGCAATAACTTTGCATATCCGTGATAAAACTGTTTGGATATTTTTATTTTGTGGTCTTCAAAAGGGAATGGTTATTACAGCGTATGCTAATGAAGGTAAATAAGAACGTTTATGATGTAAAAGAATCACCTTTTCTAATCTATGTGGTTTACCGAGAGTTGTAAATGTAAACAAGTAAAAATCCAATTAATTGTGTTCTCTTGTATTCTTAACGGATAGAACAAGTATAAACAGATACAAGTTCTTAAGGCAACATTGCTCATGTTTACTGGTACAGCAGTAACCCGCCGGCAACATTGCTCATGTTTACTGGTACAGCAGTAACCCGCCGGCAACATTGCTCATGTTTACTGGTACAGCAGTAACCCGCCATCAATCAATCAAAATTTAGTTCTTGTGGCAACATTGCTCATGTTTACTGGTACAGCAGTAACCCGCCATCAATCAATCAAAACTTTACTGAAAAACGAGACGAAACACCCGTTATTTGTTAGTTTTATTTTTTGCAATTGGCAACTAGAAAATCTTTCTTCTTTTATGAGGTTGGTAGTATTAAAATTGACCGACAAAAGGTTACGCTTTTTCAAGGTAATGTATTTATTTAATTTCAGCTGATACCCCCTCTCCTAGCTAACACAAACAAAAGGGTGTTTTTTTTTTTGCATCATGGACAAATATTTGTGTACATGTATAACAATGCATGATTTCCATTTCAGTATCTTAAATAGTGTGGGTCTTCTTTAGATAAGTGCAATCATTCTTTGAATTGTAATCTTAATATTGACATATTTTTTTTTCTCTTAATAAATTATATTGAATGGGTTTTTTTTTCTGTCTCTTAAGGTTGCAATTCTGTAAATATAGACAATGCAATTTCCCATAGGAACTCCCTTTGCGGCTAAAACTGTGACACTTTTACTATGAAGTTTCGTGAAAAATAATATCCCAGAACGGAAAGTTTATATGCACTACTATTTTATTCAAAGGTCAAAATATAGGGCTGTCCGGCATATTTTCAACATTTATATGCCCTGAACTTCGAAGAGTTTAAAATTAAACTAAAATTCTATACTACCCTTACCTTCATTTTTGGACCTCCTAAGAATTAAAATTTATGCGCTACCATGTTTTTCTATACTGGTTACATTCCCAAGTGATGTCTCTATGAGATGAAACACAGAGATCATAAATGGGAACCAGTACGTTAACAAATTAAAATATCTATGAATATTATATATCTCCCCAAAAGAGGCGTGGTTTGAGAAACAGCTGTATTTACAAATTGTGCAACCTATACAAACATTTATTCAAAAAGAAAACTCTCTAAAAACACTTTTTCTCACAACAATACTTATTTATCAGAATTATAGCCTTAAAGAAATCACTGCATACACTCTAAAGTTTCCTTTTACAGTACATTTTATACCCCTACCATTGTTTCAATTTTTTAAAGAATTTGAATACAGGACTTTAATTATTGCCAGCTTACCCTATGTACATGTTTTCTGACATGAACTGTCTGAAACCTGTTTGAAAATGTTCTGATAACAAATTGAAAGCATTTTAGAATACTATAAATGTAATGTTTAGTAGTTAATCATTCCAAAATTCAAGATTATCCAAAGTATCCAATCCTGCCTGTGTCCCCAGTCCACATCTTACTGTATGCCTATTAGTCAATGAAAGTTCACAATTTCTGCCTCAAATGGTCAGTTTAGAATTCTTGTCACAAAAGTATCATCCCTAACCATATATATAACATAAGTTAGTTAATATATGAACTAGAAGTGTTTAAACAAACCATATTTGCAAAAGTTGTATTTATGAAGATATCAGTCTGGTGCATAAATTCACTAAAAATTTTATAGAAATGACTGCTTACATCTAATTTTTGCATAACTTCCTAGCACAGTTATTGTTTTCTTTACATTAGACCTTTAAAATAATAAAATCATAGCATTTTCAAGTTAATTTATCTGTTTTATGACCCAGGGTTAGGCATTTTTCTCTGTTTTTTGCCCCTGGGGCCTCACATTTCCCATATGTTTTCCCTGTTTCTAGCAATATGGAATATTTAGTACATATATAGGATAAGTCAGACTATTATAAGTTTTATTGAGGTCTTTTTGTAATTTTAGCTTGTACTTTTTTATGCCGCGGTCACAAAAATGCACATTTAGGTGTTACGGCTTAATTTTGGGTTATCGACAGGACATAAACACCCCACCAAAAATAATTAGGAAGGATCAATGAGTTGCAATAACTGCGAAGAGTAAATATAAGCACTTCTGAACAATTTAAATTACAAATAGGCATATATTATGAATTTATTTTGAATTCAGGGCTTTAATTAAACCATGCACACTGTAAACTGTGAATTTAGGCATAGTCATCATAGTTAAGGCCCATGAAATCCTCAATTTTCATGAAATATTTATAAAACTTCATTTTTAAGTTAAATTCTTTAAAATCTCAGAGATAAACCAGATTTTATGAAATTCTGTATGTTCTATTTTTAACCCTATATAGTTTGCAATTCTGTAAATATAGACAATGCAATTTCCCATAGAAACTCCCTTTGCGGCTAAAACTGTGACACTTTTACTATGAAGTTTCGTGAAAAATAATATCCCAGAACGGAAAGTTTATATGCACTACTATTTTATTCAAAGGTCAAACTATAGGGCTGTGCGGCATATTTTCAACATTTATATGCCCTGAACTTCTAAGAGTTTAAACTTATACTAAAATTCTATACTACCCTTACCTTCATTTTTGGACCTCCTAAGAATTAAAATTAAGGCGCTACCATGTTTTTCTATACTGAATCGATTACATTCCCAAGTGATGTCTCTATGAGATGAAACACAGAGATCATAAATGGGAACCAGTACGTTAACAAATTAACATATCTATGAATATTATATATCTCCCCAAAAGAGGCGTGGTTTGAGAAACAGCTGTATTTACAAAGTGCAACCTTAAACGTGATCGAGATTTAAAAAAAAAGGGAGGGGGAGGGGACGAGGGTTAAATACTTAAAACTCGCTTTTTCTTAAATCAATGTGCATACCGTAAGAACATCAAAAGTGCTAATCGTTAGCTTTCTATGTACACTTCTTTTTGTTCGCCTTTGCTCTTCAAAGCAATTGCTATTGGTTAGATATCTTCAATAGTATGTATAAAGATAATAAGATGTGATATGATAGCCAATGAGACAACTCTTCACCAGAGACTCAAAGACACAGAAGTTAACCAAATGACATAAATGACAATTCATGTGTCATTTTTGTTCAAATTGTGTGGGGAATAAAGGCAATAAAGAGCCTATTATATGGTAAAGACACAATTCTTTTGTTTAAAAGGAATACAAGGAGTAATGGAGTACATGTTAATGATTGTTTGATTGATTGATTATTGATTGCTTATCGTCCAGCGGCAAATATTTCATGCATGCTCAGACCGAGAACAAATTAACAATAAATACAATAGGTAGGTCCTGTAATAGAGGCCGTCCGGAATAAAGGTCGGGGAAATTTGGACTGTTACTGGAAAATGAGGGTATAATGGATAGGGACAGAACTTTTACCTAGCAACAGGTCACCTACGTACCCCTCAAAGAGTTGTTGTAAGGGTGTTTAACGTGCAGAGAGCGTGGCGCTCTCTCTACACGAGGCATTGGATTTAACGTCCCCATTCTGACCGGACGTGACTGCGTATTTATACATCCTGCACAACCAAACGGAGGCTACAATTTTTGGTAGGGGTTTTACAATTTATGATTGAGGTTTACCAATTCATTGTATAGGTATTACAATTCATGATGTGGGTTTAATGATTTATGGTAAGGGTTTTACCATTCACGGCAGGGGTTTTAAAATTCATGGTGTGGGTTACACACTACAAAGCAAATTCTCGATAAAAAGGTGACCATCGATTACGGTACACATCTTTCTTAATTTATCGAAGTTCACACTCCAGCACTCCTCAAGGATATATGTGTTTGCCTTTCTAATGCTATGAGCTGAACGTAGTCAGACACTTTACTTAATTTATGATATATGTATATAACCTAAAAAAAATCTTTAATATACAATGTGTATTATGTAAGTGAATCCTGTGTGGCGAGTTATGAAATAATAATAAATGAAATATGTAAATAAGCTACACGGAAATGTTTGTTCAATTGAAAAGTAACGTAAAGTGTAGAAGTTCAAACACGTCAAACCGGACTTTCAATGATCACGTTCTAATGTGCAATGTTTTAATCCTTGAAAATTAATACGTTTTACATAAAAACATTTGTCTTCAGGACAGAAACAGCCGGTGGTTTACCTTAACCGATGAAATATGTTACCACGTAGGACATAATACATGTTGTAATTATCTATATAAAAGTAAGTCCGTAAACAATGTTTCACTTCTACAATCAAACTGAGTTTTAGTGCAAATTAGAATTGATCGCGTTGGAGACTGGTATAAAGCTTTGATAGAGGTAAAGATTTATTTCAGGGAGTAAACAACAATATCTGTATGTATGTAAATAAATTTAAACATTTTAAAAATGTAAACAATTTTCTAATGAATTTCATATTTGAATAATATTGAAATAAATAAGTATCTTAAAATGCATATTTATGTTTTGAAAAAAACAAATATTTAAAAAATAAAACTATATCAAAGTTTTGTGAAATAAAATGCCATTTAAATAAGTAGGCTTCCTCCTTCAAACAAAGGAAAACGATCTTTATTGTAGGAGCGTGAGCGTGAGTTTTATTCGAATCTTAATTCGTTGAAGCAAAATGCACCAACAATGGTTTTAATTGAATGATGTGCAGGCGATTTTAATAATTTAAATAATTGCTTACTCGACTATTACAATGGTCCTATTTGATAAATACATTGAAACCACTCGTACTTAGTCTTTTAAATTAGAACTTTCCTCAGTTTTTGTCGTCCTCCTTTCTTTGTTTGATCTTTAAGATATGCATCACCTGTTTTACAACTCAACCATTTTCCATGCTTTCTAGGATAGTTCGGAGTAACACTGTATACAATGTATACACATTTGTAATGGATGACTAAACATTGTGAACATTATAGATTTAGAGCTTTATCTTTTTACCGTTTACCAGATACCACCTTAATATAAGGTACGTATGTTCTATTACGTGACATGGTATTCTCAAATATAAATATGTTATATGAATATGATTTACATGCTTATTTGCAGATAACATTACTTCAGGACATGACGAGACTAATAATCGGTCTACTGTTATGTGTCCTTGGTCCTGCTTGGGCGAAAAAGTAAGTAATTGTACTATACCATACACTTTGTAAGTGGTCGTCAAGATTTATTATTCATATGAGGCACAATTCGGACCTAACTCAAAAGACAAAAAAATAACACAGTACCTTAATTTCAACGGTCGACCAAATATACAGAAAGAAGTCTAAGATATAAGTTATATCCCTTTAGTGTCTTTCACTTCTCTTTTGTTAAATATAGATAAACATGGCATAAAAAAAGACAATAAAATCAAAGCGAAAAAACGATAACAAAATAAAATGAGAGAAAAGAAAACGGAAAAAAAACCCAAATATTTTATACAATAAAACAAAACGAAACAAAACAAATAAAATAAAAAAAAACAAAAACAAAAACAAAACCTTTATCAAATATAAACAAATACAAATGTTCATAAAACCATAAATATTCAATACCGTTTCTAATTAAAGTGACTGAAAGCAAGCATTTTTATGCACCTGTCCTAAGTCAAGAGCCTGGTGTTCAGTGGTTGTCGTTTGTTGGTGTAACTCGTTTTTCGTTTGTAATATAGATTAGACCGTTGGTTTTTCTGTTTGAATTGTTTTAAACTAGTCATTTTGGGGCCCTTTATAACTTGCTGTTCGGTGTGAGCCAAGGCTCCGTGTTGAAGGCCGTACTTTGACCTATAATTGTTAACCTTTTATACATTGTGACTTGGATGGAGAGTTGTCTCATTGGTACTCATGACACATCTTCTTATTTTATAATGTCATTTCAAACGTACTAATAGCATTACAACCATTATGATATTCTTCCTGTGTTCAACTTCCAGTACATATATTGTGACGGTACCACGACAAATACGAGCTGGTTCAACGGCTGATATCTATATAGCACCTATTAATTCAACTGAACGAGGGGCTAATGTAGTGGTTATACTATTGGACAAAGACAATACCACATTAGCAACTAAAAGGGAGTCAATATATTCACTGCGTGAGTATACATTAAATAAAACAAATTACATACAAATTAACATTGAAAGGCTTAAGAGTAAAAAAATAATCGAAAGGAACAATTACAGTATTCAGTGCTTTAGTTTTAGTGCTTGATCATTTGGTTTTCCTTTGCTTTTAATTGTTTAGTATGAGCGTTCCTGATGAAAGTAAGTACCATGTTAAGGGAGGGTTGGGCGTACAGAAACATGTTAAATCCCGCAACATTTTGAACCAGAGCCGGTATTCCCGTGGTAGTGATGATGCCCGTAACCCATGAAATCAGAGGTGTGAACGCCTTACGATGGGGCACAGAGTATGTTTCTTCCTAGAGATGGGAAATTTCATTGCGATATATGAGATGCAAGCACTCAATAAAAAAAAACGTTATATTTGTTATTCTCGTCGGATTTTGTCAAATGTTTTAACGTCTTTTCTGTTATATTCGTGTGTTATGTGTGTTATGGTAAAGATAAGTAATCACCCCTTTCATTTATTAGATTTTAGTTTGGTTCAACGAAATTTATACCATATATTTGGTTTACAGTTTGATTCAGAAGAAACACCGACATAGCTAGATAATACAATTAATTATCTAATTACTACCACAATTTGATATTAATAAGTATTGAAATTTTCATAGTTATTAATAAATGTGATATCAGTATTACAAATCTAATCTTGAATCAATCCTAATCCTATCTTATTTTTGGGAAATATTTTTACAAATTCAAATGTGACGTCACTTTGTGTGTTTTTTTAGAATTTCAAATGTGACGTCACTTTGTACGTTGAGGCTTTGGCTAACTCGGCTGTGTATTTTTATGTGTTGGATTAAGTTGTTTTATGTAATGTATCCGTTTTTATTCTGTAGTTAGTCCCCATTTCGGTTTTATCATGTATATCTATTATATAGTCATTTTATAAAATTTACTGTTTGCAAAATTATAAATTAATCTAAATAATATGGATGTTCTTGTCCCAGGCAGAAAATCCTGGCCGTGTTAGGCGCAACTTTTTGGAAGTTTTGGTCCTCGGTGCTCTTCAGCTTTGTACTTGTTTTGGCTTTCAAACTTTTTCATCTGAGCGTCACTGGTTGGTCTTGTGTGGACGAGACGCACGTCTGGTGTTTTGAATTTTAAGCCTAGTACCTTTTGTTAGCTATTATTCGTGTGTTTCTTTGTCCTATATGTTCTCCCATTTATTTGTATTGTGGTCCTGTCATGTGATGTTGTCGTTTTGGTGTTGTGTTTGACGTTGCCATAAAAGCGGGAGGTTTGGCATGCCACAAAACCAGGTTCAACCCACCATTTTTTCTTAAAATGTCCTGTACCAAGTCTGGAAAATGGTCATTGTTATATTATAGTTCGTTTCTGTGTGTGTTACATTTTAATGTTGTGTTTTTGTTGTGTCGTTGATCTCTTATATTTGATGCGTTTCCCTCAGTTTTAGTTTGTAACCCGGATTTGTTTTTATCTCTATCGATTTATGAGTTTCGAACAGCGGTATACTACTGTTGCCTTTATGTAAGACTTTATTAACCATCGGAATGAATGGAAAAAAATGTTTTTTTCCTGATTTAGTACAGGCATTTTCCGAAACTTAATTATCTAAATTATTGACTCATGTTCCCTTACACTATCTGTTCTTAATTTTACTTTTCTTTTTAAGTTATGCATTTCCCTTTTTTATTTAAAAAGAATAGTAATCGTGTGTACATTCTTACATGTGTATTTATTTGAAACATCTTTAATCTGTTTTTTAAGCCCCCGCCACACTAGACCAAGACCATGAAGATCCCACTACGATCTATAAAAAAAAATAAGATCGCGATGAGATCGTGGTATGGTCGGCTTGAATATTCAATATTTCATACTTTTCACGTTCATACCACGACCTTGCTATGATACTGATAAGATCCTGCTACGATTCCTTTACTATAGTAATACGTTCTAGTTACGATCTTGTCACACGCTCTTGCTACGTTTGATAAGACATTACCACGGTTAGACGATTTCTGTACGCTTCTACCAAGACCTTCTCGGTCGCATAACGATCTCAATACGAGTCTACTACGATCGAACCACGACTCCACTACGTTTCAAAAACGTTGTCACTGCGCTCTAGAAAATGGCTTCATTAAATAATTTTTCAACCCAAATGCGTCGTCACCCAAGATGAAGTATGGCATGTTCAGGTCGTCATTAGGTAAGGGACCTGACTCTAGAAATCCAATAGTCTTATCTTCCAAACACTCCTTTAATTCTGCTGCGTTGTAAATTTGGGCGTCCAACATGGAACCATAACCATATTGCATCCTTTGTTTTAATATCAACAGAATGAAGTCGTATCAATATCGTAGTAGAAGCATAATAAAAACGTAGTGAAATCGTAGTAAGGTCGCAGCAAAATCTTTTGCATTGGCTTCCCGATTGCACCACAATTTCCAATACAATGCTTCTACTCCCATCCCGATCCTACTACGTCCTTACTACGACCTTCCTACGCTTATACTACGACTAGTTATGGCCACGACTGCACTACGAATGTTTTTAGCATGTTCAAAGTTGATCGTGGACCTCCACGTTCATGAAGACCTTGGCACGTCCTTACTACGACCACCACGATCTTACTACGACTTCATAACTTTTTAATAATTTCTGAGGTCGTAGCTGGATTGGGGTCCTAGTGCGATGGGGTATTAAGATGGTATCACACATTCACGTTTTTTACTGCCGACCTTGATAGAACCATTCCCGATAAAAATTTGTCAAAAGTCTGATCGAGATCCTGTGAATCGTGGCTGGAAATTCAGACTTTTATTAAAATTTGTAAAAAAAAATTATTTAGTCACGACAACAATCAGATATTGTTCAGAAAGCCGTTTCCATCCGAATTTGTCCCGATTATTTCGTTCTCAATCTGATTCTAATCCGAATGTATCTTTCCAATGGTTAAAGATGATCGAATCTGTCCCGACAGCGTCTCGATTCTGCCGAATGCGACCCGACAGACACCAGACAGTGACCAGCCAGTGAACCGACGCTGACGGAAGATATCCGTTAGAAAACTGTCGCCATATTCGGGATGATCAGGTACTGTCGGAACGTAATCCTATCACAGTCTGCAGTGCCGCATTGCAAACGGCTTTGTCTGGACTCAGCCGTATCGTTTTCTGTAATTGTCGGGACTCTGACGTGGGTATTTTTGCCGAATTTCGTATTAATAACGGGATTGTTCCGGAATGGTTTCGGTAAAGACCGTTTGCAATCGGGATACAATCTGGACTCAATCGCCAAAAAAAACAGCAATGACAAATTTCTCCATATTATGAACGTTCCACCGCCTAGATAACACAGATCATTGTTACGATTTTGATCCGATACAGCAGAATCTGTCACGACATAATCACGATTGTAATCCAACTAGATAAAATCGGCTGAGTTTCCCCGAATGTTACGGGACGCACCTAACTGTTGGGGTAGCTTGGCCGACCTGCCCGATCCGAAGGAATCTGTTACGAACGTATACTACAGCGTTCAGACAATGATAGGACATTCCAGATCATTGGGGATAGTAATCCGACTTTTTCACTTTTCGAGTCTTAGCGCTGTCCGATCTCAAACGGAAGCCATTATCGGCACTGTGTGAACGCCGCATTACATATTTACTTTTACTATAAAAGTGTAAATGAATCATATTAATGCTTGAACTAATATGACACCGAACCTGGAAACGGTGGCAATATCCAACAGCTCATTCATGTCTGTCCATAATATAGGGCAAAGTGATCCGATTTCAGCACATTTAAATTTATCTGAAAAGAATAAATACTGCAAAAGGCTGTAATTGGTTGACCCAAACCAACCATTATCATTTCCCCCGCGTCAGTCAAAATACAATGCTAATTATTCTAAATAAAGTAAGATATTTACCACTGATCTTGAATTAGAAATTATTAATCAATAATTAAAGGAAAATACATTAATAAGTCTTCGAATGACATTTTATGTATATGGTTCTTGAATCCAAAACTATATTTCAATTAGCTTTGTCATCATTTAAGGTTGGGTGCTTGGTGTGATGCGAGTGAACTCTCTTTAGATTTTTGGTAATTCAAATTTTGTAAAAACAAATTGGATCCTTGTGTTGCGCTTTTATAAAAATGAAGAGATGTGGTATGAATGCAAATGAGACAACTATCCACCACACAATGAAGTGGCAGTAAGCAACTATAGACCACCTAATGGCCTTCAACAATGAGAAAAACCCCATACCGTATAATCAGCTATAAAAGGCCCCGACATGAAAAATGTGAAACAATTCAAACTCAAACGAGAAAACTAACGGCCTAATTAATAACAAAACATTTTACCAAAAAAAAAAACATGATATACAGCAACAAACGACAGCCTCTGAATTACAGGTTCCCGACTTGAGACAGGGACATACAAATGTGGCGGGATTAAACATGCTTGTGAGCGCTCAACCCTCCCTCACCTGGGAGAATGGTGTCTGGTATATAACGACTATATGTATTATTTCAAGACATTTGAAATGAAATTAATATTTGCATCGAATAATTGATAACTCGTATGTTGTATCTTCTTTTGGTGATTAACATAAGAAGTCCATTGTTCTTGCTGTATTTGTGCACTTTTAAAAATGCTTATACCATAATTATTGACTAGCAATAGCGTTGTTCATAAATGCATATTGTTTTGATTAACACAAGCTGAGAACTGAATATCTGATCAAGGACTTGTGATTTCAATTTCAGGACAACCTGCAGTTGTCAAAATAAACGTGAGTTTAATGTTATGTACAGCAATATTTAGGTGTCGATGACAGCTTTCGTAACGAGTGAGAATTGAATTTTGCATGAAATCATCTTTGGTTATTTCAGTATAATATCAACGCATCACCTATGTTTTTTTATTGCATCCCTGGAATTTTTTCACGTTATGTACACTACCGAGAGAAGAACAAGCTAGTGTTTGATTTTTTACGTGTGACGACAAGTGACATTCCCTTATAGAAACTGAGAAATGGTCTAAAGTTTCTTTTATTCATTATTCTTTGACACAAGAAACGTTATTTGTCATCCTTAAAGTTTATGCGATTCATACTTGTAGCTAATGGCATTTTAAAATACTTATGATAAAAAAATACACAAAACGATTCTTGTTAATTCAAAGGTTAAAAGGACATATTGGCATATGATTACAAACCACAAAAGATAATTACTATTTGATTAGTGTATTGAGATAGGTAATAATATATTAACTGATTGGAATGTTTTATTTCTTTTACTGAAGGTACCCGATACTATCCCTGCTGGACATGATTACAAGATGAAAGTCAAAGTTTCGGGAGGACTCTCATTTGATAAAACAGTAACAAGAATACGAGCAACTACAAAGGCGACCTCTATCTTCATTCAAACTGATAAAGCTATTTATAAGCCTGGAGACTTAGGTACATTTCTCAATATTGAAATTGAATTGTGTTTCATTGATAAATTAAATACAACATGTACCTGACATGATTTCCTGACATTTATTTAAATGACTATAAAGTATTATATATGTTTTTAAACCGATCTATCATAACCATAACTGACATGCGTTTTTATTTTCGTTTATAAAATACACTAGAAATTATTTGCTGCCCGCTTAGGATTGATTAAATGTAAGAGATCCCCAATCAGAAAAAAATTGTTAAATTGCCAAATAATTCTTTTCTTTCAACAGGATGCATGATTCTTTTAAATAACTTTTTTTTTAAGTTGAACGAAACATAAGAAAAAGAACATATTTTGATAATTGTATTTTTAAAGGAAAAATAGATATATTTCATAAAGACTATATGTTGACCTATATATTTCTTTTAACTTTTTGTTTTGCTGGGTTGCTGTTTCATTGAATAGTGTATATATCCTATTGTTCTACTGCTTGTAACAACATTTATTTTTTACAACAGTTCAGTTTAGAGTATTCGGTACTGATCCTAGTTTAAAAGTCAGAAATGATCCGTTGGATATTTACATACAGGTAAGACAAACTTAAAGTTGTCATAGGGAGTCCTTTTGGTCCCCGACTCTATAAGGCGAAATAATACGAATGCAATAAGTCATTTAAAAATATATTCTCAGAATTTTTCAAAATACATATACATATAGACTTTAAGAATACGTTGTCAAGTTTAAAATTGGTTCATTCCTATTTTATACCGAGGTAAACAGTTACCTTTCTTTTACTATGTTTGGAATTTAATTTTATCATTAAAATAATTTATTCAGAATATTTGATAACTGAATGTTACTTCCACAATTTTGGCAGTTGTGTTAAATGTTATCCATGAAAAGAAAGATGAACAATTTTAGACCAAGGAAGGAGTGAAACGTATATGCATTCATCTATATTGAAATATCAACGAGGCATGCTTTCATTTCAGGATCCCAAAAATAACAGAGTAAAGCAGTATCTTAAAGTAAAGCCTGTTTTGGGTGTTTTTGCTGGATCATTTCAACTTTCAACTTTAACAAATTTAGGAACATGGACGATCAGAACAGAACAAAAGGTATGTTGTACATTATCAGTAAAAGTTATGTTTTACACATTATAAATCAAAAGTTTGTTGTACAACATTTTAAGTAAAAGGTATGCTGTACAATATTTAAGTAAACATTATGTTGTACATTATTAGTTTTAAGCATGTTGTACAACATTATAAGTAAAAGACATGTTGTACAACATTATAAGTACAAAGTATGTTGTAAAACATTATAAGTACAAAGTACGTTGTGCAACATTATAAGTAAAATGTATCTTGTACAACATTTAAGTAAAAGGTATGGCGTACAATATTATGAGTAAAAGACATGATGTACAACATCATTAGTAAAAGTTATGTTGTACAAAGTTATAAGTAAAAGGTATGGTGTATAACGTTAGCAGTAAAAGGTATGGTTTACAACATTTTGCGTAACAGGAAAGTTGTAAAACATATTAAGTAGAAGGTATGGTGTACAACACTAACAAAATAAAGAAATGATACATAACCGTAGAAAGTGATGTATTCTTTGATCTCAGCTGGAATAGCGGTGGCTTTCGATTTCAGGGGTCCCAGATTGAATTCCGGCAGGTGCATGTAATCTAATTTGGGAGGCAAATCAAGGTCTCCGATTACAGTATATTTCTCCCTTCTTTATTTGAATGTTCCATTTTAAACATTGCAAGATTATGCCAAGTAGATAAAGGCAACAGCAGTATACCGCTGTTCGAAATTCATAAATCGATTGAGAAAAAACAAATCCGGGTTACAAACTAAAACTGAGGGAAACATATCAAATATAAGAGGAGAACTACGACACAACAGAAACACAACATTAAAATGTAACACACACAGACAGCTTTGTTTAAAATAGTCTTGTGCTTTATTTTTTGTGTTAATTTTATTAAACCAAAGTCAAATGAGTGCTTGATTCTGGTTGGCTAATATACCTTGAAACAAATACCTACTATTCAAAACAAATGAGAAAGGAGTCAATATGAATTTAACTAAATATTATAATCAGATTTCACGAACTATCACCAAACAACAGTATCTAAAGCAATTAAATTATTCAAATGAAATCCTTATGTAAGAAAATAATTCATAGGAATGCTGTCGCATAAGTATGAATGAAAAAATTATAACAAATATACCGAACTCTAAGTCAAATTTAAAAAAAGGGAAGTCCATAAAAACCGACAAAAATCAAACGCCATCAATCAGCAGAACAAGTGAAAAAACAACTGCCATATTCCTGACTTTGATACAGGCATTATTCGATGAAAATGGTTGTATACCGAGCTAAACATCCCACACTTATGACAATTGTTTCTACCCTTCCCTTTTCACGAATGTGACCTACCGAATTAGACTATTTACCGGATTTGTAATAACATAAGCAACACGACGGGTGCCACGTGTGGAGCAGGATCTGCTTACCCTTCCGGAGCACCTGAGATCACCCCCAGTTTTTGGTGGGGTTCGTGTTGCTTAGTCTTAAGTTTTCTATGTTGTGTCATCTGTACTTTTATTTGTCTGTTTGTGTTTTTATTTTTGGCCATGGCGTTGTCAGTTTGTTTTCGATCTATGAGTTTGACTGTCCCTCTGGTATCTTTCGTCCCTCTTTCTAGTTCCATTATATTGAAAAAATTGGGTGAGCAACCCAAAAAGACATAATATGTTAATGTCACAATAATTGGGATCCAGCAGCCAAAACTGTGTAAACATAGTATGTATGATACATATCAGACATACAACAAAACTGATTAACAAATTCAAAAAAAAAACATGCAAATAATCTAACAAAGACTCCAACAAAAAATATGTAGTAGATAGTATATTTTAAATTTGATAATGACGTCAGCAAAAAAAGTTTTGTCGTTGATAGTACATCCCGTTTATAGTATATACACTTTCTCGATAGAGTAAAAAAAATAAGAAAATATAAAAAACAAGGATAAGAAAAAATAGAAACAACACTGTAAAAAACCTTTGTTTCCGAATCTCAGCTAAGGTCCTATCTGCACCAAATATGCCAAAAGTTAAAAAGTCAAAACCCCGATGGCGGGATGTATAAATACCGAGTCACGTCAAAAGTCATACACCAAAAGAAACAAAATAGCACGAAGACAAATAACGTGGTGTTGTACAACAATATACTGCTGTAGTATAGACTGATAATCAACTAGTGTATTCATTTTTAATTAGATCTGCCATATTCACATACATCATAGAATTCAGAGCGCCAAATAGTATGAAAGGCTGCAAAAGAGGAACGGAAATAATATCCGATAGACAATCAAAGATTTAGTTATATTATAAATTATCACCCTTCATCCAGGTCTACCAACTTTAAGGATTCGATGTAATAAAAAAAAGGAAACAAATCAAAATGAAGTATTTCTGTATGATCCTGTATGTTATTAATGGATTTGTCAATACGTCATCTACTCATTAAAAATGACAAAACTTCGATGACTTTCGTCAGACATTGTATAAGCATGTTTGTTTGTCGAAGTTCAATGTGTGAAATATAGAAAGAACAGAAAATACATTTCCTTTGTCCAAATATATATTAATTTATAAAGTCAGCCTCTATTTTTCAATCAACTGTTAAAAAATTATAATGTCAAAACTTGTGTATTAATATGATAACCTTTGGGCAGATTAGTTTTTACATTTGCCAATAGGCTAGTATTTGAATATTAATTGTCCTCTTTCAAGCTGCCAAGACGTAGATGTTGGTCAAATAATACCCTATCAAGAACATTGTGTATGAGAGCATTTGCTTATTGGACAATTCAAAACCCGGATACATTAATAAAGATCTAAATATTTGAAAACATCCTCAACTGTCTATCGAATGCAAGTATCCACTACTGTTAAAGAGCAGTTATTTAATTTTGTACTTCTTTTAAAATTTATTTTGTTTTTATGCGCACTGAAAAGTTAAATCGAAAGATGACTCGAAAACGGAGTAAATCCTTCACAATGGGTTCTGTATTCAAGAAATAATAGATGACAATATTAATGAATCGAATTTTCCAATCTAAAATCTAATAAAATAAAAATCATGAACAGTCCGTTTTTCATGGTAAATGGTTGACCGCTAATATACTAACTACCCACCAAGTATATCAATTTTTTGGGTTGAATATGAGTTAAATTCCTTATGCCAGTATTGGTAAATAAAATGTATACATTCAAAACCAGATATTCATCGCTGGCCCAGTAGCCAAAACCTCGGTAACGTAATGAAAAAACGGATATTTTTTCATTAAAATTTGCTGCTAACAAATTTTGACATCATTTTAGATTAATGAATATGTCTCCCTCGTGTTAAGCTCTCCAGATTTCGCTATGGTTTAGATCATCTTTGGTGTAGTTTACTCTTCGGTGTTTATACTAGGTTTTGGATTTTCAAATATTTTGACCTCGACCATCACTGAAAGGGCATCGATTGTTGAAAAACACCCAGGGTTGGGTTAAACTCAATTCGGTTTAAAAGTAGAAATGATGACGTTTCAGAGTTACTCGTAGAATTCGATTGAAACACTGGTAACTCAAACCGAAGTCAATCCTCATGTTTAAATCAAATGTCAACCCATCAAGAAAGTTTTGTCAAATGTTCTTCTACATTAAAAAGAAATATTTCATTAGTTTGGTAATATTAAACTCATTTAGGATAAAGTAGATGACGTTACGTTCTTTAGCTGAATTCAACTAAGAAACGATAGTATGCTGTATGACCTGATGTGTTTCCCTAAATGCAGGTCATGACCTGCATTTTCATTTTCAGAGGTTGACGGGTATGTTTAAGGATTAATTCTAATTGATATCGTCAGCCAAAATTTTAAATATACATAAATAAATGTTAAATTGAATACACACTGTTACAATGAACGCAAAAGCCTTGTGCATATAACAACGATCGTTTACGATTTTCTTTATGTCTTTTTTCATTTATTTATCCGTTTTTCTTTTATTTTCTTTGTTACTGGGGATAGTTTTGCAAGGAGAACACATTTTCAGTTTTTTTTCTCTTTTCTTTATTATTGGCAATTTAACGCATGAAATTGTTTACATTCATTTGCTCATTATTTTTTTTTTCTTTTGGGAGACTACCATTATTTCAATACATACCTTTACAAATGCATATTCTCAAATTTTTATGATGTGGCCCTGATTATTTCTTCCTAGAAGTTCCTTTACATACATGCATTTATATATTTTTTTTAAATTAGTTCAAATATGCCCTATTTTGTAAATTGCTGATACCTTTCAGATTTCCAATCATTTAATGGAAATTTCGTATGAATTTAATGACAATGCATCATTAAGTACAACTTGGAGTGTATCGGAACTCAATGATAAAAATATTCAATTAACGAAAGAACTCTAACTTTGGAAAAAGACATTACAACAATATCTTTAATAAAAGACACAGTAGATAAGCATTGGATCTTTAAAAAGATACCATTCGCACTCAGAAGTCAGGGTATCTTTTTAACTAACCAACGCTTTATCTCCTTTATGTATTTACACATTTATTGAGGTAGTTCGGTTTTAGCGATCCTTGTGAAACTAATTTTATAAGTGCATTCATTTGGAGCAAAAACTGATTATTTTATTTTCAACTAATGATATTGAATTCAAACAGATTAAAAACTACTGTTTCTTTTTCGGAAGCATTTGACTCAGTTACATACTAATTACTTTTACCTAGAAAAAAGTAGTAACATTGGCGTTTGCATGTTGTAGCTTTTGTATCTCGTTGACCCTTTCTTTTAGGAAGATAACCTTTTCTTTATCAATACACAAATCGATTAAATGAAATCATTATAAAATGTACATTTTATGATTTCAGACAGAAAAAACTTCAAAAAGATTTGACGTAGAAAGAGTTGGTGAGTACATCATTTGTTGTTTATGTAGTGTAAAACAATACCTCCCTTTAAAGTAATATCCCATGACATAGAAAGAGTTGGTGAGTACATCATTTGTTGGTCATGTAGTGTAAAACAATACCTCCCTTTAAAATAATATCACATGACGTACAAAGGAGTTGGTGAGTACATCATTTGTTGGTCATGTAGTGTAAAACAATACCTCCCTTTAAAGTAATATCACCTGACTTAGAAAGAGTTGGTGAGTACATCTTGTGTTGGTCATGTAGTGTATAACAATAACTCCCTTTAAAGTAATATCACATGACGTAGAAAGAGTTGGTGAGTACATCATTTGTTGGTCCTGTAGTGTAAAACAATACCGCCCTTTAAAGTAATATCACAGGACGTACAAAAGAGTTGGTGAGTACATCATTTGTTGGTCCTGTAGTGTAAAACAATACCTCCCTTTAAAATTATATCACATGACGTAGAAAAAGTTGGTGAGTACATCATTTGTTGGTCATGTAGTGTAAACCAATACCTCTCTTTAAAGTAATATCACAACTTTTTCATTCTATCTGATTTATAGACAAAATGATGCATTTTGAGAAAGAAGTGAATACATTAAAATACATATAAATCGTTAAATAAGTTAAGATATAATTAGAATAATTCAATGGAACTTGTAATTCTGTGTTACATACGACAAAACTGTCAATGAATGAATGCGATAGAGGTGAATTAATATATCCTTCCTTCCATAAAATTATTTACTCGGTGCGCTCTTCGTGTTAGTGATGCAGACAAAATAATTTATTGCAATCTACTTTAAATTGGTGAACACCTCTAATAAATTGCTATTAATGAACATGGTATATGCCCAGTAGTAAATAAAGTGCTAGTTATGAAAATGGTATATGCCCAGTAGTAAGTCTTTTGGCGCTTGTATATTTTGATATATCAATTTGATAAGGCTGCACATTCTACCTGTTTCTGATTCTTGTACAAATAAACTTCATATTTTGTGACAATTTATGGTTGTTCTATATTCATAGAAACAATTATTATGAAATAATTGTCTCTTTGAATCTAAGTTTTGTTAGTAACAAGACTAAATACAAAAGTTTATAAAAATAGTTTTAATGCGTAAAATTGATTTTTTTATTTAATTTCATAACACAATGTTACTCCTTCTTCGAAACTATATATTTCAACGGCCCCAAGTCTCATTAAAAACGCACAACCATTGTGTATACTGTTTGCATTTAGTAATTTGCCGAAGATCATATAGCATTTTATTTTTAATGTTTTAGTTTTACCTAAATTTGAAGTAAACGTTGTATTGCCGTCATTTGAGCTGAAAACCGATAGATTCTTCACAGTTACAATTAATACAATGTGAGTATATTTAATGAAAATGCAAAACGAGTTACCCTTAATACAGTAAGTACATTTAATGGAAATAATAAACGACACGACAGTGTAATATACAATTACTGACTGTTGATGATTGTCAGCATTGACATTCACTGACAAATCTCTGGCAAAGCAGTTAGAAAGGTCAATTCACTTAAGCTAGATTCAGATTGCATTAATAACATTAGCCGTGCATTAAGCAAGAAATAAACTTGCGAAGTTTATCTAAAAGTACATATATATATCAATATGATTGATATTGCCATACATTTTCATAGTCGAGATATTTTCTATTTTTGAATAGAATAGAGAATGGAAATGGAGAATGTTTCAAAGAAACAACAATTTGACAAAGAGCAGAAAACAACCCAAGGCCACCAAAGGGTCTTCAACACAGCGAGAAAATTCCGCAACCGGAGACGGGCTTCTGTTGGTAAATGCGAGTACATGCGCTCGCTAACATGTTAAACCCCGCAACATTCGGTATGTGCCGGTACCAAGTCAGGAGCCTGTAATTGTCGTTTGTTGCTGTATATCATATTTTCAGTTCGTTTATTGTTTTTTACATAAATCAGGCCGTTAGTTTTCTCGTTTGAATTGTTTTACATTTGTCATTTTGGGGCCTTTTATAGCTGACTATGCGGTATGGGTTTTGCTTATTGCTGAAGGCCGTAGGATGACCTATAGGTGTTAACTTCTATGTCATTTGGTCTGGTGGAGAGTTCTCTCATTGGCAATAATACCACGTCTTCTTATTTTTATATTCAGCTGAAACCTAAACATTATGGTATGCAAGTTCAGCGAAATGGACGCCACTAAACTCCGAAACATGCAAATGAGCCAAACTTTAAAAAAACAACACAACATTAACAAGGACAAGAGGTTCCTGACTTGGGACGGGCGCAAAAATGCGGCGGGGTAAACCATGTTTTGTGAGATCTCAACCCTATACCTCTAGGCAATGTGGAATATACAAACACACAGAATACGCACAGTAACACTCAGTTAAAATGAAGCCCGAGTCCGATGTTAGAAAAGGTAACAGAAGAAACTAAGCAAAATGACAATATGATCAACATAAATTACCAGAGGAGTACTAGCAGTTATTGACATGCCAGCTCCATATCTCAATTAAACTGGTTGAAAGATTATGTCTTCATCATATGAAAATCAGCCACCATCCCTCCCGTTAGGTGTTTTGTATCATGCCATCATAAATTATACGAGAGAACATTACCAGTATCATGCCAACAACTGGTATTAGAATAAATGTGTTTATTTCCGATGCAAAGACCCTTTGAGTGAATCAATATTAATTCCAAAAAATGTCATCTTTAATGACTTGACAACAGTATCGTAACTATATCCCTTTTGAATAAGTCTGTTTAAAGGTTTGGTTAGCTTTTGAGGTGAATGACGACATTGTTCTGCTTTGTATTGAATATTACCATAACAGATGGGATGTGAAATACCTGAACGTATAAGATGTCTACATGTTGATTTATATTTACGAATGATGCCCTTATACCGATGTTAAAATTTTGTTCATATTTAATACAAGTAAGATTATTTTCGCTAGTTGACCCTTTACATATAGCAAAGCAAAAAGAAAAACAAAGAATGCTCACATTATCTGAAGCCAGTTTAAAGCGTTTCAAATTACTAAGACCTAGCTGCCATATATGTAACCATTCAAATCCGAGCACCTTCATATAGAATACACACGCTTCTGTGGTACAAGAAAGGAAATGTAACACAAAATGACCAAAACTTGTTTAAAGGTTATAACGCTTGTTCTGTTTAAAAAATGTTAAGATAAACGTTTGTAAATAGTAACAATGGTTGATCATTTTTAAATAATGTTTAGGTATACGTTTGGAAAGCCAGTACAAGGGGACGCAGAAGTGACATTTAAACGACGTTGGACGACTGTAAAACAGATTGTGAAGAGATTTAAGGTTACTTTATTGCATATAGTTCTATTATTCTAGTTCAACGTATGCAAAGTTAGATTTATATTTATACTCTTAAACATAAACATTTTCTTATCATATGAGCTTTACATATAGGATTTTGGGGATATAATCAATAGAGCTGCAACTGAACATGACAGCAAAAAAGAGACAAGTATAGGTCGGCATGAGTAAACAATAATACATGATTGTTGATGTAATTATTGACAAAAATGCTGGAGCAAAAGATGAAAATTTCAATCAATTGAGCATTACACAGTCAAAAAAGATAAATAGCAGTGTTTTTGAGTGGTGATGTTTTAGCACAAAATATTTCAACGTTCATGGTTATGTTACAATCCGAATATCAGATTTGGCTGTTCTTATAAAATCAAGTTTGCTCATATAGCTCTTCCAATTCAAAACTCTTGATATACATCATTGGCTTTTATTTTTGGAGTTTGAGCATATCTTATGAATATAAAACCAGAAAAGCGGCTAAGACTCACCATATATATTGAAAAGTGTTATTTTTATTTAACATCAATCATTTTCACACCAATCATTCAGAAATAATTGTAAAATAAGTGTTACTTTGTAGATAAAAGGAAAGGCAACGGTCCGGGTTTTAATGAGTGAAGTGGCTCCTATGCTTGGAAATTTCATAGAAGTCATAGCCAAAGTTACTGAATCCATTACTGGTGTTTCGGCAGAGGACAAAGGCTCTGTTCAAATTTATGATACACCAGAAAAACTAAATTTCTCTCCCAGGATGCCTTCTGTTTTCAAACCGAATATGGAGTATGCCATAATTGTAAGGATTAATAATTGTTATCAAAGCGTAATAGTTTTTGAAAAATTCCAACATATGTTTTAATACAGTTTTTATTTAAAAATTATTGAAGCGCAACCCTTACATTCCTTGAAAACATTTTCCCGTTGTTATGGTTCTAGTTTAACTTTTAATTTGAAAATGTCGGCATTCCTATGGGAACGAATTGTGCGTCTCTTGTTGCCGACCTCTTCTTATTTTCATATGAGTCGGAGTTCCTTCAGACATTTGTCAAAAACAAGAAGATCAAAGAAGCCACATTCAGATATATTGATGATGTTCTTTCCATTAACAATCCAAACTTTTCTAATTCGGTTCCATTAATATATCCTCCAGAACTAGAAATTAGAGAAACAACAGACACGTCTTCCTCCACCTCATTTTCAGACTTATACCTCGAGTGTGACATAAGCGGACATCTAAGAACCAGAATCTATGACAAACGAGACGATTTTAATTTTGAAATTCTAAATTCCCCCCACCTTAGCAGCAATATACAAACTTCACCTGCATATGGGATATACATTTCCCAACTCATTCGGTATTCAAGAGCTTGTAGCTGATACTGATACTTTATAAAACGTCACCAGTGTCTGAGCAGAAAGTTGATGAATCAGGGTTATATCAAAGGACGTCTCGTCTTTTTTCTAAAAAAAAGTTCATCGGAAGATACCAAGACCTTGTTGATAAATATTCCGTATCAACTTCACAAATAATACATGATGGTCTTGACGTATAGATTCTAGGTACTAACGTTGTTTATCATCTTAATTACGTGTTTCTGTATATTTCTAACCTTTACTGTTTAGTTTATTTTCGGTAGTATACTTTTGACGTGGCTCGGTATTTATACATCCCGCTATTGTGTTATTGTGCTATGGTCATTTTATTGTATTCTTGTCTTTCATTTTTGCTTATGTACTTTGTCTATAGAGTGTCTATATGACATTTTGTTTTTCTTTGTTAAAATAGTTATTTGTTTTATAGTGATTTAGATCATAACACAATGTGGACAGCTGTACCCTAATTTTTGACAATTTTACCAATTATGTCTGTGTGTTTTGTTCACACATTGTTGTCAATATAATGCGACTGTCATACAAGTGAGAGGTTTAGCTACCTATAAAACCAGGTTCAATCCACCATTTTCTACATAAGGAAATGCCTGTACCAAGTCAGGAATATGACAGTTGTTTTCCATTCGTTTGATGTGTTTGAGCTTTTTATTTTGCCATTTGATAAAGGACTTTCCGTTTTGAATTTTCCTTGGAGTTCGGTATTTTTGCTTTTTTACTTTTGACTAATACAGGTCTTTAGAATATAACTACAACGGGTTCAGTTAATTCTTATGTTGGAAGTTTCCTTGTTATCAAATAGTTCGTTTCTATGTATGTTGGCGTTTGTTATTGTTGCACTTCAGTGTTTCTGTTATTCCGTTGTTTTCCTTTTATAGTTGATGTGTTTCCCTCGGTTTTAGTTTGTAACCCGGATTTGTTTTCTCTCAAGCGATTTATGACTTTGAACAGCGGTATACTACTGTTGCCTTTATTCCTTATAACTGTTAAAGTCACGGTGTTTTTTTCTTTTCGCAAATTTCTGTGTTCAAATACCAGTAGACTGCAATAGTTGTAGGTGGATATCCATAATGTGTATAACGTAGACGTTTGTCGAGTAATGGAAATAATCAAACGTAATAGATATAAATTACACATCGTCAATGTAGTTCACATTCATCGCATATCTTATCGAACCAAACTAATTTTTTATGTGTTAAGTTAATTTTTCAGAGTCTTATATTGCATATGCATCATTGGTCTTGCCTTTGAATTAAAACTTTCATGGGAAGAAATTAAGTTAGAAATCTTGACTCGGGGCTGCCTAGAGCTTGGTATATTGTATTTATAAAGTAAAGACCGGATGTTGAACTCTAGAATTCTTTTCGATTTATTGTATCTTTTTTGTTTTTCGATTGTTTTCTCATTGGTGTAATTACATCATCTCCTTTTATTCATAATCGTAACCTTTTATAAAGTTATTAAGTTTGTTCATATTACATATTATTCTATGAATATGATTTTAGTTGCGGGCAACACAACATGATGACAGTCCTATAAAACCACCTTTAGGTATGGTGAACATCACAGTGACGTACTATGTACCCGTGATCACGGAAAAACAAAACGTTAGTCCTGGATCATCTGGTAGTGGTGGTCAAGTCATGCCAAAGGGACAAATGCTTCAACCGGAAACTCGAAATGAACAAAAAGTATTGTGGACAAGGGTTGTACAAATACCAGAATCAGGAATAATTGTTTTATCAACAAACTTTCCGCGAGCGGCCCAAAATGGAAATATACGGGTAATTTTATATATATAAGTGATGAAATACACATATTAGTGAATTTCATCTAGAGAAGACAGTTACATGTATATTGCACGAGCTGGCAATTGCCATTCTACGAAAAATGTTATACACCAAAATTCTTGGGTAACATGTTACCTTTTTATTGTACAATACCAACAACAGCATGATAAGAACATCATGTTAAGGATGTAGTTAGGTGAAATTAAAAAAATTTAGAATTTAAAATTGATACTATAAGTCAAAAGAGCATTAGTTAAGGAACAAATTAAGCTTAAAATATTGATAGGTTATGGAACTCCATTATGAGATATTTGATTTTTTTTAAATGGCGGAAAGGCTGACTCGGACTTTTCGGACCTGTCCTAAGTCAGGAGCCTGTTGTTCAGTGGTTGTCGTTTGCTGGTTTGGTTCATAAATGTTTCTCCTTTTTCTATTTTTACATAGATTAAACCGTTGGTTTTCCTGTTTGAATTGTTTTACACTAGTCTTTTTGGGGCCATTTATAGCTTGCTGTTCTGTGTGAGCCAAGGCTCCGTGTTGAAGGCCGTACTTTGACCTATAATTGTTTACTTTTTACACATTGTGACTTTGATTGATAGTTGTCTCATTGGCACTCATACCACACCTTCTTATTTATTTTTTACCTTATATTTAGCATTGTCATGATTTGAGTCTCAAATCGTAAGAAAAAAAAATCTAGAATCTGCTTAAATTTTGGTAATGACCTTTTATGAGATATTGAAGTCTTCTATGAAAAGAAAAGTGGGTGATATGGGACACTAATATTTTATCCTGTATCGTAGGAAAAAAAACCAAGGAGTCCGAACATCTGACAAAAGATCCTAAACCTGACCTGACTACATCCTTAACTTAACAATAACAGCGTTATTTGAATCTTTGCTTTAATTTGTGACATCATGCCGCTTGCACTGTCTTTATTAACTAGGCCTTTTTTCGTCGATAAATGTCTCAGCTTCATCTTTGGCTGTTACACAAAAGGGTTGAAATGTTTACCATGCAGTCACATAGGTGTCATGTTATCATATCCGTCTAAATATTTAAAAACTTAACGTCTGAGGACTGAGATATAAGCTTTCAATTAACCATATTCATATACACAATTGAAGACAGATTTCCCTATATAAAAGTTGCATTCTCAAAATGAGGATACCAATTGTTTGGTTTTTTTTAAATTTACTACAATTTTTTTTTTTTTTTTTTTTTTGTTGAGTTTTTGATAAAAAAATATTTTGAAAAAATACAACTACTTCCTTGTTGATACGGAATAATTAACTTTTTATGTTTTATTTTGCTGCACATTAGAACATCATATCATCCACCAACATATCTAGGTTAATAAGTTGGAAAGTTTGTAGTTAAGAAAGAGACTTCAAACATGTGCAAAACAAAAATAACTGAATACTTTTCTGATTTCGCCGTATCCTGGTGTGAACTTTGTCTTGGTGAATTTCTTATTTGTTTAACAGCAGTCACCTTTTTATATATATATATTATATATAGTTTAAATCATTACTTACAGGCGTTTTATCGTGGTGCCAGTGCAAATAAAGGTGTTACCCAAGCGGAATCCCCTAGCAGAAACTACATTCAGGTTTCTGTTAGGAACAACCAAGCTGCAAAGGTGTGTCTTGAATTTTGAAACATTATTTTTTTATCTTACTCTGAAAAATATTGCTAGACACATTTCAACTTTTCAAAATATCCGTGAATGACTTATGTGTTAGACATGTGATTCATACTTCCAAAAAGCCTTTAACATAACCAGGTGCTTTCCATTTATATTTTTATTATATATTAAGGTATTGATGGGTTGGTAAGACATTTCAGATTTAAGTTATGAATTCATAAATGAGATCATAAAATTTGTTTAGTCTATGTTAATTGCATACAACAACCAGCACTGAAGTGTTATTTAAGGGTACAAAACAGTACAGCTCGCTTTGAATCAGACAGCGCTAGCTAGATGTTATGAATGTAATTAAATTTCTTACATTAAATGTATAACTTGATAATTTTGTTGAATTGGGTCTTACATATTTCACGATACTTAATTTATTTTAAGCAAATTCTAGTTACATACATTGACAACTAATCAAAATAAAGATTTTACTCACAAAGATAATTAGCTAGATGAGATCATTTGTGTGTTGTTGATCTTATTTTAATACCTTTTTGGATAAGGTTGTTGTTCATGCATTAATAAATATTGTACCTATAGTATGTATAAATGAAAAAGAAAGGATAATGGTATTTTAATTCATGACACAAAGTCATTTCTCGCGCATGAAAACAAAACAAATGCAAATTTATAAAGAACGCGTTTATTGATGTTTTTGATATCAAAGTCAATGTCACAGTAAGTGTTTCAACATTGAAAAAATTCACCTCACTGCAAGTTCAAAATGGCCACAAGCACGCTTTTGAACTTGATGAGGAAAACGCTATATGTGTACATTCAAGAACGAAGCTTAATACATTTTGTTGTCACTATATTAAGAATATATCAATTGCGGTTAATTGATCAAATTTAAACAGATTTTGAAAACGAGAAATTCATTCTAGTCATGCTATCACGGAAAATTGTATGTATTTACAAATATGATTCTTATTTAGCCAGGAGAGTATTTACCACTACTTGTGAAAGTCACAGAATCAATTCGTTACTGTAGTTATAAAGTAAGTATTCCTTGTGCAATAACATTAAATTTTAAGGAATAAAACAGAACCTAATAGAGCATACACCCCTTAATTAACATGTGCATACTTATCGACTCTTTTCTGAATTACAGGCAATAGAATTTTATCGTTAATCAAATAATATAAATCTATTAAGAAGATACAAATCAAGGTAAAATACAAAAATCTTAAGGGCGCATTAAATTGTTCAATCAATCTTGAAAATTTAAGATTTATTAAAGAATGGTAGTATTTAAAATAGGTCTCACTAATTGATTTATTTTTTGTTTATTACTGCAACAATCTTTATTTGCCTTTTCCAAGTGATGAACCTGTAATTCTGTGACTATTTATTCTTTATGTACATAATCACCGTTTGATTTTTTCGTTTGAATAGTTTCACTTTTTGTCATTTCTGGATCTTTTATAGCTAAATACACTGTATAGGTTTGCTTACTAATGAAGCTCGTACGGTAACCTTAAGTTGCTTACATCTACCTCATTTGGTCTGTGATTATTAATTGTCTTATTTGAAATTATTCCACATCTTCTCATTTTTATATTTACACGCTTTCAGATTTAACAGAGAGGCGAAAGATACCAACGGGATATTTAAAAATTATAAAGTCGAAAACAAACTGACAAAGCTATGGCGAAAAACGAAAATCGACGAAAAGACAAACAGTAAACAAAACACAACAATTTTGTGTCGTTGATCGATTATGAAGTGATCATTTGTCATCTTTCCCATAAAGGGGTAGTTTTTGGGTTGAATATGTTAAGAATTATAAGATGAACCTTATTGGACGACAGATGTACATGTACTTACAATCTCTATTTTGATATGCACATCTCCCCGTCATTATTTTTGTCTCAATACTCATTTAAGGACAATTCTTAATTTCTACTGTAGTTTAAACAACAATTAAAAATCTTAATATGTAAAAATAAGAACAGTTTTTATTTTCGTTGACAGGTGTTTTCGAAAGGATCCCTTGTAGCACAGGGTAGATTTACAATGAGACAAGAAAAACAGCGAAACCAAAGACTGATGATAACATATGGAATGGTTCCTCAAGCCAAGTTATTAGTATATTATGCTAGACGACAAGATGGTGAAATTGTGGCTGATGCTATCAGCATACCTATTGAAGACATATTTGACAATGCAGTGGGTATTTTTAAAGTTATGATTGATGTAACAGTTTTTTTTTTTGTATCAAATTTGATGCAATCTTTCTGTAAATTATCATTAAGTATGAAAACATTTTTTGATTTAACAGAGTTTAATATTCTTGGGAAATCTAGAAATATAATGGTTTATGTTTTAAAACTCCAGTTGGTGATTTATTTATTTTTTTTGGTTGACCGGACAAAATAAATGCATTACGATTGTTTTCCTTTGTTTACTTTAGACCCCTGTAATGGAATGGCAAGGTTTTTTTTCATGTGCATAGATTATTCTGTTCCTCTTATCATACGCCCTTGATAATGAGTTAAATTTCAAAAGAATTCTTCAAGATACTACAAACAAGAAATTCATAGGAAATAAATAGATTGACCTTTATTGAAAGCCTAAGGGTATATTTGAGATACGTAGATATTCATTTTTGTATTTTTTTGGTCTTCGGTGGGTTGTCGGATAGATAACAGTTATATCACGGAATTTTATATGAAAGAGAGAAGTTGACAATCGTGGAGTTGGCTATTTTTAACGATTTTCCCGTCTCCGATTCATCTAAAATGTGTTAAACAAGACATCTGGGAATCAAGATATGTATTCAAACATTGACAGAATCTCCGAAACAGAATATGGTGAAAATATACTGAAGTTATTATGGGCGCCAATTATGTTCTGATATGCAGACATCGTCCTTCGTGTGAAACTGAATCGTTATTCGGGAGCAAGCAACAGTGTTTGAAACATAACTTAACCTATTCTAAATCTGTTAGACAATAGTGGACATATAGGATCACTGCATGAGTAAAAGCGCTAAATATAGAAACATTGTTATAAACAATTCATGATGATAACCGTAAAACTAGTTCTTGTTGAGTGATAATGTATGTTGTTCGCTCTTCTTGATATCTTTTCGAGTGTTGATTTTGAATTTCGAATATTCCTCTGTCAAATAAATCCTTGTGGGGATTTTTTTGCCTTCTTTTGTCATATTTTATGTATGAAGTGTACCAACACAAAATTGCGTTTTTTCATAGATACAAGAAGCAATTTTATGTTGCTCATTTATCTTATATATACAAAACTTCCGCTGGGCGATTTGCAATAAAATATAAATTGATACAATACGGTTTATGTTGTAAACGCCTAAGTTTTTTTGGAGGGGAAATATATATACATACTCAGTGAACGCCAAAACTGCAGTTTTAAAATAATATAATATCAATATCCCTCAATAGTTCAAATACGGGACATAATAATTCTTATTCATAATAAGTATAGAACTCTCGTGTCAAACTGGCGTCCTCTTTTGCTATAAGATTTGGATTACACACTATAGGCACAGTGATTGCGGAAAGAATAAAACTTTTTCTTCCAAACCACAAAGATCCGTATCAGACAGGGTGTGTGACTGGTAGATACATTTGTGAAACTTTACGACTAATTTTTGTTAAAACTCAGTGGAGGATCCAGAGGGGGGGGGGGGGGGGGGGGGGGTCCGGGGGTTGGAACCCCCCTTTTTTTGACGATCAATGCTTCTGAATGGGGACATATGGTTGGAATCCCCCTTTTATCCTGGGATCGAACCCACCGACCCCACCCCCTTTTTTAAAATGGCTGGATCCGTCCCTGAAACTAGTGGTTTTTGAAAAGCGTTCGATACGCTAGAATGGAAACTTATTTAAAAAGTGCTGGTTGGTTTTAATGTATCTTAATTTTGTCCCCAAACATATCTAGTGTTGTTAAGTTCTAGTCCATTCAAAATTGAGAGAGGTGTTAGACAAGGATGTCCTTTGTTTTTTTGTTTTTTTTTTTATGGGGGGTGGCATTGAACTCCTTGCAATTAGTATTCGTAAGACCAATCAGATATTTGATTAAACAAAAAATTGGTAACACTGAAATAAAAATAACACTGTTGGCAGATGATACCAGTTGTTTTCTGAAAGATGTTTTAATGAATTCCTTCAATGATTGTGAGAAGTGCTCTTCGTTTAAAGTATTTTTGTAAACCGAAGCAATATAGATTGGATGAAATAAATTCATCAGAGAAGGTTCCTTTTCCACTAAATGAGCTTATATCTTTAAAACGTTGGGTTTAAAATGTAATGCCTCACAAAAAACAATGTGTTCGAACTTTTTTACATTTATAGAACAAATTAGATCATATATTAAAGTGTGGAGGTCAAATACCTATCCTTGATAGTAAATAAAATGTAATTTTCAAATCAGTTGCAATATCAAACCTTAAGTTTGTCATTTCATCTACTCATGTACCAACAACATATGTTACTAAAATACAACGTGATATTAGCATTTGTATGGAATGGTGGCACTCCGAAAGTTAAATCCGAAGTTATTTAAAAGTCACCTAGCGAGGGTGGTCTTATGCCCGTATTTTTGAATTACACCTATTATCCCGTTTAATTTTGTGGGTAAACCGATTTCCGTCAAAACATGATTTCAAATGGAACAATATTTCCAAATCATTTTTTCCTATATTTGATTTACAAGATTTATTTAAAGGCAGATGTGGATTTGAGTTTTAAATTTCGAAGCACTTCTGTATCAATTGTGCAATGAATTGTTATATGCCTGGAACCGTCTCAAGAGAATGTTTATACTGGTAGATGCATTTCGTGTGAGAAAAGAATTTATTTGGTTCAATCTTTACGGTATATTTCGGAACTGACAGGAATTATTACATGTGTTTCTTAAATTCTCCGTTGACAAGTTAATAAATCATTCAAAAACTCCCTCAGGCAAAGTTGACCTTAGATGAGTTCGGCTATTCCCTTTAGGTAAGATGAGGTCGGATATTCCCTTTAGGACAGATGAGGTCGTCTATTCCCTTTAGGATAGATGAGGTCGGCTATTCCCTTTAGGACAGATGAGGTCGGCTATTCCCTTTAGGTCAGATGAGGTCGGCTATTCCCTTTAGGGCAGATGAGGTCGGCTATTCCCTTTAGGACAGATGAGGTCGGCTATTCCCTTAGGACAGATGAGGTCGGCTATTCCCTTTAGGACAGATAATGTCGGCTATTCCCTTTAAGACAGATGAGGTCGGCTATTCCCTTTAGGACAGATTAGGTCGGCTATTCCCTTTAAGACAGATGAGGTCGGCTATTCCCTTTAGGACAAATGAGGTCTGCTATTCCTTTTAAGACAGATGAGGTCGGCTATTCCCTTTAAGACAGATGAGGTCGGCTATTCCCTTTAAGACAGATGAGGTCGGCTATTCCCTTTAGGACAGATGAGGTCGGCTATTCCCTTTAAGACAGATGAGGTCGGCTATTCCCTTTAGGACAAATGAGGTCTGCTATTCCTTTTAAGACAGATGAGGTCGGCTATTCCCTTTAAGACAGATGAGGTCGGCTATTCCCTTTAAGACAGATGAGGTCGGCTATTCCCTTTAGGACAGATGAGGTCGGCTATTCCCTTTAAGACAGATGAGGTCGGCTATTCCCTTAAGGACAGATGAGGTCGGCTATTCCCTTTAGGACAGATGAGGTCGGCTATTCCCTTTAGGACAGATGAGGTCGGTTATTCCCTTAAGGACATATGAGGTCGGCTATTCCCTTTAGGACCCTTTTGGTCATATAGCTCCTCACGTTTTCAGGTCTATGATATCACATTTTAGGTTTAAGCATTTCTGATTTAGGTTAATCCAGAGAAGCTCTTCGGACGAACGTAATTATATTAAGTGTTATTTTCATTTACAAATTTTTGTATTTTAAGGCAAATGGTTTATCAATGATGTTGTAGATGATAAATATCAATAAGATAAAATCCTAAAGAACTACAAAAATCCCCTAACACATATTCTATTTAGATAGAATTTATCTTTAATTTTGATATTTTTAGGTGTCTTTGAAATTTAACAAGAAAACAGCAAAACCAGGAGAAGAAGTAAGCCTGCAATTGACGGCTGATCGAAACTCACTAGTGAACGTTCTGGCTGTTGATAAGAGCGTTCTTTTACTGAAATCAGGAAATGACATCACAACACAAGATGTAAGTTGAATGCAGCGTCAATCAACATGATGTATGTAGTTTTTTATTTTTTTTTTTTTTTATTTCTCGTTCATTTATTGATTTTCAAGAACACAAATTTTATGAGTTATATATTGTATCATAAATACATATATGTAATCTCTGCTTTACCACCTTGAAAGGTTTTGAATGAGCTCCAAAGATATAACAACTTTGGTAACTTTCCAAGATTTGGTGGATGGGACTCCCGGAAGCCTACTCCTGTAAGCGACATAGATGCATTCTCCGTTTTTCAGGTGAGTCTGTACTTAATGAAATTGCTCATGTTTAAAAAAAACTTCATATAAATTTAGGTGAAGAGGATTTGATAAAAAGTCACAAAATATCCACTGGTAATATACCTATGAATCTACCTTTGAGTTCGGCATTTTTTTAATAAAGGTTTAACTCCATAGGTAGAATTAAACATAAGTCGAGTCCAATGCAGAAATTTACTATTTTTAAAATAATTTCAGGATGGAATATATGTCATTTTATTGTTCGACGTACTGACTCACACACAATCAACCATGCACCTAAACTATCTTATTTTAATTCAATTGTGCTTTATGAAATAATTATGATGCGATCAAGTTCTATCTTTTGTTATATTTATTTGTTTGTTGCTTTATTTACCACGTGTACAGACATATGTTTAGAGTCATACTAGTTTTATATTTACACTTGTTTCGGTACTTAGGCATCATTGGCTTTTACATTTTTGGCTATGAGCGTTCCTGACGAAAGTAAATCCAGAAAAGCGCATTTAATTTAGAAAGTGTAACTTTCCCTTTTTTATTTCATTTACACTGCTGGTTTCTTACTTTGTTACAATTAATGAAGAATCATAAGAAAAGAAGATCATATAATACAAAAATCTACATAATAGTGAAGAAACATGCACATTAACACAACTTTCACATATGTGAACGTCTTATGAAATTAATCATTAAATGTCTAGTCATGCAGAGGAACAGCAGGTCTGGATGTTGTAATATTATCAATCTTGCAGACTACAACAGGGTTGAAGTTTTAACTTATTTAATGGCCACAAGTGTTTTGAAATGCCCTAGTGTTGTGAGTATGTAATGGTGTTCTTTGATATATTTGAAGAAGTAAATGTGGTTTGATTGTCAAGGAGACAACTATCAACCAGAGCCTAAATGGCGTTTTATAAGCAATTAAAGGTCACGGTCGGCTTTCAACAATGAGCAAAACCACACCGTATTGTAAGCTATATATAGTCCTGACATTGCAAAAGATTAAAACGATAAACCAACGGACTGATTTACGCTATAACAACACACGAGAAAAAAATATGAAGAAAAGCAACCAACGAGAACCACTGAATTACGGTCTCCTGATATTTCCTTTGCAAATTTCCTTCAAAAGTTGCTTCAGATCTGTAATGCCTTTGTATTGAACTTTGGCTAATATTTTATAGGGTGCAGGTGTATATGTTTTTGATTGATATTTTATAGGGAGCTGGTGTTTATGTTTTGACTGATGCAGTATTGTTTCAATATACACCTCCGAGTAAGTAATTGTATATGTTGCGATATAATTTCTGCATAGCTTATTTTCATTATTCTATTGTACGCTATGTTAACAAGTTCATTTTTATACCATTGATGATAGATATTTTAAAACCTTTCCGAAAAAAACGTGCATATCTCATTTTCGTTGTTTTACTCAATATCAGATTTCATATCGAACGATAATGTTAACAGAGGAATTATAATATTGAAAGTATTGTAGAAAATACGCATAAAAAGAAAAATTAACATTTATTTACAATTTTCAATTAACAATTCTAAAGTAAATGTACGAAAAAACTGTGCCGCGCATTTGAATTTATAATATACGATAATTGCAACACAACCATCAACTTTCAATTAGCACAAACCATTAGACAAATAAATAAGATCGTTCATCATTTTTGAGTCACAATTTATCGTGGGCACAATTCTATAACTGTTTTACTTCTTTTACATTATTTTACCCTTATCGACTCTGACTTATTACCCTATGGCTAATTGTACAATTTGTACTACTACTGGGTCGTTGCTGCTAATGGGGAACAAACGTTAATAATATTAAACAAATAGCGTTACAGATTCACACGATTCAATCCTTATAAAATAGATGAATATCATGACATAGTTATGTCACTTCATTGCGCAAATGTCATTTGATAAATCGAAAAAAAAAATCGAGATATTTGTTTCGGCAATTTTAAACGGAACGTTAAAAAAATCTAATATAAGTAGCAACCTTAACCATGCCTTCTTTTTGTTTGGCAGTTTGTAGTTACGAATTTTTAATGATGCTGTTTCGTGTTTCTAATGATAAATAATATGAGAGTGTTTTGGCAGACTGTTCAGTTTTGCCAGACATTTAAAACCTAAACTATTTGTAGGAAAAAATACAAAAAAGTATTTATAATCATGATAATATCTGAAAGAGTAATCTCTTATGAAATTCTGAAGATTATTTTTTGTTTAATTTTATATTTTTGACTTTCCAAACATTTGATTATAGAAATACATGTTGTGCTCACAATTTGAAATAATACGGTTTTATGAAGATTTTATTTTGTAAAAGCATTTATCGTGTATTCGTATTCATCCGAACTCCTGTTCCACTGTCTTTAATTTTCCCGCTATAGTTTGTTTTCTAGTGGATTTTGACTTTTTATTTTCATCGTTTAACAAAGTTAGTTTTGTGTCGTCATCGATAATATAAAGATGGAAATATGAAAACAAAATGAAACAGGACATTTACATGTCAAAATTTGAAAATCGTATCTTGTATGAATGTATACATGTACTTATCAAACTGAACTAGTATACATTATTCTTTAGTGGTCAGCTGAAGACCGCCTCCGGCTAACTAATTTTCTCACTGCATTGAAGACCCATTGGTGGCCTTGAGCTGTTTTCTGCTCTTCGGTCGGGTTGTTACACATTCACCATTTCCATTTTCTATTCTATTCTATTAACTTATATAAAAACTTTGGTATATATACAATAGCTGAGCAAATAACACTCATAGAACCTTATAGACATAACGTTTTATTTTGCATTTATTTCGGATTAAAGAAAAAATGTTTCCTGAAAATCTCATGCTGCCAAATAAATATTCGACTACAGTTTATATTCAATTGTTTTGAAAAATTTACGAACATTCATGTTTGAATCAACCAGCAAAAACTGCTTCTTTCTCATTATTTGCATACATATATGAACCAGCTTGCTTCAAAGATTGCATTTTAATCATTTGCAAAAATCAGAACTTTTACTATAGCAATCGTGAAAACAAAGATGATTTAGGGAACTATCGCATTCCTCAATAATTTCCAACGATTCATTTGTATCTTCCAAAAGGGGCAATCCCAAGGGTGACTAGGGAATAGAAATATTGTCACTCTTTTTTCTTTTCCGACCGGCAAAAAAGCCCTTTCCAAAGTGGGGCGTCCGTTTTGGCTGTGCGGGATGTATAAATACACAGCCACGTTCAGTGAGAATGTGGGCGTTAAATCCGATGCCTCGTGAAGAGAGAGTTATACGCTCTTTGGACGTTAAGAACCTTTGCATCAACTCTTTCAGGGGTCCTCAGGTGACCTGTTGCAAGGCAAATTATCTGTCCTTATCCAATATACCATCATTTTTCAGTGGCAATTCAATTTTCCCGACCTTCATCCAAGACGGCCCCTATTACATGACCTACCTGTTGTATTTATTAATAATTTTGACCCAGAACGTTTAGCAACCAACAATCAATCAAACCAAAAAGGCATAATTGCCTTTTGAATGCTTCATTTCTCAATCATAATTACTTTTCCGATGTTGAACCTTTTTTATCCAAGATATTTTGTATTTTCCTTTCTCTGTTCCCGTCACATTCTTAAAGAACTACAAATCAAAGCGTTCCGAAAGTTGGTATCGTGCTTCATGTGAGCATGCATTTTCAGATTCAAGGAGCAGAATGATGACCACCTTTGCAATGGGTGGAATGCATCGTAGAGGTGGTGGGGATGGGCTGACATCTCCTACACGAACACGAAAAGATTTTCCCGAGACATGGCTTTGGGTTGACAGAACAACAGGGTGAGATTTTTTTTGCTATATATTTAAATTCTGTATTGCCGGATACTTGTGTGTTATTAATTTAAGAACTGCCTGAGCTTGGAAAATTCTGTCTAAATCAACGCAGAACAGATGAGAGGAACTGTTAACGTATAAACAATTACTTATTTCTCAAAACAATTGTTAACCTAGCTTCTTGATAAATAGAATAATAAGTTCGTGATATGTGACCCGCCATGACATTTCCAGGTTTATGGGGGTAAACGTCATTATGAGAAAACGTCGATGTAAAGTCACGTAACGTAATCGGGGCACCTGTTATTGAATGTCCAAATATATCATGCGGTAAAATAAAGTTTCATTTTTCATGACGTGAGGAAATTTATAAGATATAAAAAACAATTAGATTTTGTACGTAAAATTTATAAAAGTAAAGTTAAAAATCCCGTTCAAAATCGTGTTTTAAATTCACACAAATTATCTTTCAGATTTCATTGCGTAAATCACTTTCTCCTGAGTCATTAAATTATTTTTTTCGATTATAAAAAATGTTTGAGATTATATCACCATTGCTAGATATTATTTAGAAATTAGATAATATTTATACCTGCCCATTAGGACCCCAATAGAGTCTCATCCCATGTTAATTCATATGACTGTCTTAGAACTACATACACAAGATATATGTGTTATTGAAAGTTTTCTTACATCCCTTTCACCTACATACCCTAATATTATTGATCATGCTGTTTGATTTTTCATCTTTCTCTGCATTAACAGATCTTTGATTTAATCACTTTGCCAGGATACATGTACTTTGACCTATAATGGTTTACTTTTATAAATTTTGACTTGGATGGAGAGTTGTCTCATTGGCACTCATACCACATCTTCTTATATCTACAAAATGTATTCACCAATAAGATAATAGACACATACGAAATCAAATTGAATAATACACAACTCCTTGATAGTTTATTATACATCTAGTAATTCACTTTCTAAGCATTGATGTAGTTTTCCTTACGAAAAAAAGAAAAAGCTTAAGTCAATGACATTATTATTTTGATTGCAGATTCCAGTATAGTGTTGCTATGGCAACCGATTTAAAATTCTTCAGTTATTTAGTTATTAAAAGCTACAATTACATTTTAATTAATTAAGAAAGATTTAAACCATCCCTTTCCCACCCACCCCCCCCCCCCCCCCCCAACAAAAAAAACTATACTAGATGAATCTAGCAAAATAACTTGTCAGGATGAATCTATGTGTACTTCATAAAAATGCAAAAAACTCATTTCGACCCTGGTACCTCCATTAGCCTGAACATCTCATGGCTGGTCACATATTATGTAATATAAACTCGACATTTTTTACGTTGTCAACTTTTTCCTGTTTTTCAATTTTGTGAGAATGTCTGAAATTTAAAAAAAACCAGTTGTACACTTATTTATATTTTCAACAGTTAATAGGAACAAAATGGTATATTTTTTCATAATTCAGCAACACAAGGACGCATCAAAAAGCGTTGAAATGTACGGTTTTCAACAAAATATAACTGTCTATAGATATATCAAGCTGAGTAAGGAAACCAACCAGACTAGAAATTTTAATTTCGTTGTACTACTTTTAACTCTCAATGAGAAAGATCATTAGTTTTTTATCAAAATATATTTAAAAAATAAATTTGTCGTGGAAACATCAAGAAACATTATTGAGACTTACCATACAATTTTGTGATTTAATATCAATAACGGTACACACTTTGCCAGTTTGTTTATTTTTAAACAGTATGCTACTAATTTAGAACTTTAAGTTTTAAATCTGTGTTTATACTGTTTGGTTGTTTTATCATTATGACCCGTGAAATTGATAAATTATAGTTACAACTTTTGGGTTAAATAAACAAATACATTGTATTTCTAGATATAATTATGGTACTGATCAAAATTTAATTATTTAGTGTAGACGGTCGTATATATTTAGCCAAGTAGCCATACATTGGTATATTTGTGCTGGCATAAAAATACTGAGTTCTTTTATAGAAATTTTATGAAAAGCTCTGATTCCTTGCCCATGTCTTTACTTTTTGGTTTTATCAGCTCATCAATATTTGTATTTGGTTTTTGATTTTCAAATAGTTTGGCATGAACATCACTTAAGAGGCAATATTTGTCCAAATGAGAATCTCTGCTGCAACGTTATTTGTACCGTTATTATTGTTTCTCCCTACAATCGCATTTACATCAGAAAAATGTAAAGCATGCTCCGGTAATTATATAAATTTGTTCAGTAAGTATACACGCTGCATCTTTTCAATTTTTTTTTAATGACTACTTCTTCTTTTCAAAGACGATATTTGACTCATATTCAATGAAAAATGCAATAAAATTAGCTAGACCACTTTCTCATTATAATAAATATTAAATGAAATTGGTTAATAAATTTACAATTTTGTGCTTACATGCTTAGGGAAGTAGATATGAGAACTCTCTCAATTTCTGGTTTCCATTTCCAAATGAAATCAAAGGAAGAAGTACCATATTCAAAACCAAACCATGAAAATAATTAGATTCTGTAGCAATATAAGAAAAACCGTACTTTACATTATACGGAAGCCGTAGAGTAAAATTAAATAGTTACATATTAACCATTGATTTGGTTCTGAATTTTTAGCGCTGATGGAACATCTACTATCAAAACTACAGCACCTGATACCATTACAGAATGGGTGGCTTCAGCTTTTGCTGTAAATCCTGTTTCTGGTCTTGGTGTGGCTGCAGAAATGGCAAACGTAAATATCAGTTTATTTAATGTCTTTATATAATAAATTGTTCAATTGTGTTCCCTATTTTGAAAAAAAGAATTGTGTTATTACTTTTGTAACAATTGCTGTTAATATAACATATGAGATCAAATCAAAACTCAAAATTGTATTCTTCAATATGAAAATGCTTTAGATTTTATATGTCATATTTTTCGTTTTAGTTGACGACATTTCAGAAATTTTTCATGCGATTTGAACTTCCGTTTTCTGCAATTAGAGGTGAAATTATAATAGTTCAAGCCACTGTTTTTAATTACTTAGACCAGGATCAACAGGTAAAATGGCTTTCATGAAACAGTATTTTTAGTAAAAATGCATTCAACAAAATCGAAAATTAAAGTATCATTTCTTTTATTTATGATCTTCATCTTGGAAATTACATGAGATAGTTTTTGTACCAAAAACTGTTCAACAATTCCAATGAATTCATTTATATCAGAATCTGTTTTGATAATATTATTTTAATGAAATATGCAGAGGTGTATCATATACATCAATCAAGCTCTTATACCGACTATATCTTTTTTTCCCATCATTAAGCTTTCTTCAACAAACCAAGTAATAAAATATTAGGTGATAAAAATTGACCGAATTCTGTCGAGTTTACTGGTCTTGAAATATGGAATACGCGTTTTCATGAATGGAATGTGCAATAGCTATGAACGCTTTGTTGGACAACACACGTCTTTGATGACTTACAATTACGGTAAACATATGGCATGAAATAATAATTAGATTGTTTGGGAAAGCTTTCAAAAACAAGTTTATATGAATGTATGATACCAATTGCAATGTGCATGATATATTTATTTGAAAAAAACCTGGATCAGGGAAGTTCATGACCAAACGTTTGAGAAGCAAAATATTAAACAAAAATCAAAAGAGAAAGAGAAAGGACAGCCAAAATTGTTTGCTTTAACTCTGTATAATGTAGTTTTACCTTTGATACAACTACGTAATATAAAAACCCCTTATCTGGGGCTTTAACAATTGGCATAACCTATTCTGTATAGCAAGCTATGAAACGCACATACATTACAAAATATTAATACAAAAAAAAAAAACGTCCTGGTTTATTTTATAACAGACATAAAAAAACGACTGAATAACATTCTCCTTACTTGGCACAAACTCTGTTGAATCTAAATCGTTAACAGTTTGCGTGCTTCGTCATATAAGCTAAAGCAAATTTCGACTGATATATATTACTAGAGAGCGGATGTGTTTTTTCACGCTCTCGACAGCATTTGTAAATGGATAACATATTATGTGTATAGCGTCATCATATTTCATATTTATATTAATATACATAATAAGAATTATCAACTATCCGATACTTGAATTATATTTGAATTTATAAACTATATCGGAAATAATTTGAGCCATGGAATCTTTTACATCTACATTTGCCGTTGATGATCATGACAGTTTCAACTATTTTTGAGACTCTGAAATTTTATGCCAACAAGATAAATCTAAAAGTGCAAAGAGAAAGAAAAAAGTTTTGCCAAATGAAGAAGTAATAACGGATTACATGTTTGACCATTTTAATGATAAACACGTCGCTGTGAAAGTCCCATGTGACGCGAAATTTGGAACAACAAGAACTAAACTTCCACTTTGGATTACAATTTTCAGAAGTAAAATGGAGGAAACCAATGTCATTGAAGAAAAACAAATTAGACATACCCCTCAAATTGTCTGTTTTGACAGGCAAAAGTTTATAAGTGCTACTTTTTACACCAGTTGAACAATCCTTATTCAGGGAAAAAATGTGTGTGTCGAATTGCGGGATATTTTTTCCCAAAAATCAGGGATCTTGTAAATCAACAAAGTGAGGTAAGAGCTAACAATTTATCTGCTAGTCAGGATATCTTAGTTTCAGACAATAACACTGCCTCTCCAAGCCAGACAACCCCTAAAGTTTTATCGGAAACTGTATCATCCAACCAAAGTGATATTTGTGATGAATCTGAAACGGACTCTCAAATCCAAACTTTCCCATAGGTAATTTCCGATAGTTTCATCTTTAACAGTACAACGATCAGCGATGTAACAATCATTAGTGAACCTTTCGTAAGTCCGATTAATTGTGTGCCAAAGCAACAGGACATCAACGAATCACTGTATAACGTTCTTTCTGAAATCAACATCAGTTTATCAACATTAACTGAACAAAATTCTGAGTTTCTAAAAATCATTCAAATTACTAGATTATCAAGTGAACTCAAACTAGTACGCCAAGACAACAGAGAGCTTAGAGATGAAATTCAGAGACTTGAAACAGAAAACCATTCGAATATTCTCTCAAATTCAATTCAAATTCCAAACTCTCGGTCTTCAAAGAACACTTGCATCACTGGCGCAAATGCACAAAAAACAATCTACTAGTGTGAAAAAGAAACATAAACAAAATATGAGAAATAATCAGAAAACAAACGACAATATCATTATTGTAGGAAGTTCCATCACTAAAGGAATTAAAACCGAGCAATGTCGAGACAACGTGCATGTTTCAACAAACAGTGGTGCAAAATCAGGTGACATACTGCAGAAAATTTCAATTCTCGATCTCACACCTTTCGATACTGTCATTCTTCAATTCGGAGGAAATGATGCTAATAAAACTAAACCGTGTACTTTTAAAAACAATGTACACAAGATCATCAAATGTTTAAACGATGATAAACCCAGGCGTGTCATTATTGGAGGTTGAATTCCCAGATCTAAAACTAATGTCACTAACATCAATGATATTCTTCGATAATTAAGTACAGAAGAAAATGTGGAATTTATCAATCACATGAACACATTTATTTTGATGAACGGAAAGGTTGCAGACAACTTGCTTGACACACCCGATGGGGTTCACTTGACAGATGATGGAACAAACACACTGTTAAATAACATTCCTGCTGTTGTGGAATCCTCGTTAAGAGGTCAGCAAACAATGACTGAATGTCAACTGATAGTAATCAGCCATACTGTTACAACTGTGGTGAAACAAACCACGCTTTAAATAATTGTCGCTATGATAAGAGAATTATATGCTACGGCTGCGGTCGTTTATGTCACAAAGAATCTAAATGCTGGAATTTATTAGATGTGTACAACTGAGATATCGGTAAAGATAATGATGCCAATTATATCCAATTACAAAATAGATTAGAAGTTCTCAGTGATTCTAGATCATGTGACATATGTTGTAATGATAACTTTTGTTGTACCTGTGATTTTTTAACAAAATGTAATATGAATGCTGATTACAAGAAAAGTCAGAAAAACGGGTCGAATAGGTTAGAAAATAAACATCAATGTTCTACAAAAACTGACCCTGAAAAACTATCCTCATCTCAGAATGTAAAGATGGATAATGTTGATTATATTTTTGATTATAAAAAGGATGGTTTGAAAATATCAAGTTTGAATATTCAACATTTATTACCCAAAATTAATGAATTGCAATTCAATTTTAAGAAAATGTGAAAAGAACAAATGCCACATGTATTTAGTTTTTCTGAAACATTTTTGGGCTCCATGGTGATTCATGACTCTAATGAATTAAAAATTGAAGGGTATACAAGTATGAATGCTCGTAAAGATAGAAAAAATACAAAAGGTGGAGGTTTAATTGCCTATTTTGAAAATGACGTCAAATATGCGCGTCTATAGTTTTTGGAACAAGATCACATTGAATCTATGTGGTTTAAAATTTGTCCTGTCAATGCACAACCATTTCTACTATGGTTTGTATATAGACCTCCTAACAGTCCTGTAGTCTGGTATGAGTATTTTGAATGAGTTTGTCAATGTTTTTAATGTAAATCAAGATGATATGATTTTAGGTGATCTTCCCGATTATATTAAAGATGTGCAAGTACCAATCTATGCCCCAGGCGATCATTACCCAGTGTCATGTATATTAGATAAGTGAAATCGACAGATAAAGAAATAACCATCGTGAAATTAAGTACAGAAATTTCAAAAAGTTTGATGATAATGAGTTCATTAAATACTTAAAAAATAAAAGTTTTGGAGATATCTTAGAAACACAAGATGTAAATGTAGCCTTAGACATTTGGTTTAGTATATTTTTAAGAATTTGTTAGATAAACATGCTCCAATTATTACTAAGCGCGTAAAAAGAAATCACCAACCAGATTGGTAAATTAAAGATATTCGACAAGTGAGAATAAACAAAGATCATTTCAGAAAGATTAATGATATGGAAAACTACAAAACCTACAGAAATTTGACCTCTTCAAAAATTAGGTAATCTAAAAGAGCATACTTTGAAAATGCGATTAAAACCGATCGCAACTGCAAACAGTCAAAGATCTAAATCACTCGGGCAAAATAATATCACCAGTCTTAAAACAGATTATGATTATATTACGAATTTGACAGATATTGTTGAACATCTTAATGATCACTTTAGTTCTATAGGTCATAAATTAGTGCCCAATCCCAAACCCACTTTCTCTTCAGATAGTTTAGCATCGTTTGTGAAGAGCAGGATCAACAAAAATGTCTCCTTTTCCCTCTATTTTGTTTCAATATCTGAAGTATTCAATGAACTTGTTAAACTAGATGTAAACAAGTCAACAGGGCTTGATGAAGTTGGACCGCGTATCCTTAAACTATCTTCCCGAATTGTATCTGAGTATTTTTCCTGATAAGCTAAAGGAAACTAGGGTTATATCTCTCCACAAGGGTGGTGATGCAACTGATATGAACAAGTATAGACCAATATCCATATTCCCAACCGTTTCCAAATTTTTTGAAAAATTGGTATTTAAGCAACTATATGCATATTTAATAAAATTAAAGCTTCTTTTAAGGCAATCGGGCTTTAGATCTGGACATTCATGTAACACTGCCCTCCTTAAATTAGTTGATGCATGGCTAAGCGAAATGGATAAAAGGAATTAAACTTGTGCTCTTTTTCTAGACTTTAGAAAAGCTTTTGATATTGTTAATCATCATATTCTACTGATCAAATTACAAATGTATCACTGTGATGATCATGCTATTGATTGGTTTAAATCTTATTTATCAGGAAGATTTCAAAATGTAATGATCAATGATAATGAATCTCATTTTAGAGAATTTCAGTCAGGAGTTCCACAGGGTTCCATACTGGGACCTTTACTTTTTATAATATTTATCAATGATTTATCTCTTGTGCTTAAAAATGTTTCTTCTGAACTTTATGTTGATGATACAACATTATATAAGTCATCTCCATCAGTAACAGATTTAAATGCATTTATGAATGTAGATTTTTGTAATGTCATGAATTGATGTAATGATAATGATATGATATTGAATAGAGATAAGACTAAGGACATGCTAATTCGTTCTAATAGACAAAATGATTTTTAAACTGAATTAAGTATCAAATTTGATGATGAACATATAATAGACGTCGTTCATAATCAAAAACTGCTAGGAATCCAAATTGACAAATCTCTCTCGTGAGAAAATCAAATTGACAAACTTTGTGCAGTAATTGTAAGCAGACTGCATCTTATGGGCCGACTAAAAGCACATCTTCCAGTAAGTGTTCGCAAACTATATACTTTCAATTATGGACTACTGCTGTACCGTGTAGGGAAATGCTTCAAAACTAATATTGACAAATTATACAAGTTACAAAAGAGGGCAGCAAGAATCATTTTAAATGCAGGTTTTGATATCTCTTCATCAGTTATGTTTAAAAAGTTAGGATGGCTTACCATTTATAATAGAATTAAATATTTTATAATAGTGATGGTTTATAAGTGTGTGAATAATCAAGCATCTGAATATTTATCTGAACTATTTTCAAGATGTTCAGTTGTTAATGAATACGTATTAAGATCATCTTCCCAAAATAATATATTTGTTCAACGATATGAAACTAATTATGGTAAAAAAACATTTATGTATTCTGGAACCTTGTTGTGGAATTCCTTGCCTTTGACTTTGAAAGAAAGTAAAAGTATAAATGTTTTTAAAACAAAATGTCAAGCTTATCTCTTGAAAATACAAGAAGAGAACTACTTGCAGTTTTAATGTAACAATTTTACTACAAATATCCTTTTTCTTTAAGTAAATTGTACTTGTTTACCTGTACTATATATGTGTTCTTGTATGCAGTGTAGTTTTTGCTTTATTACCCTTTTGTTTATGTATTATTATCTTTTAAAAATTGTGTAATCTTATATGTAGATAAGAAGGCCACGGGGCGGATAACTGTGTAACCTTCTGAAAATAAAGATTTTATTATTATTATTATGAATTGATATTGCTCCAGGTTTTTTGTTTTCTCAGATTGAAAAAAAGGTTTAATTGACTTTTTGTTCTAAATGTGTGCTTTCACCCCGTACAGTGACCACATAGTTGTTTACATCCATGTCAGTTGATCTTTTGTGGATAGTTGTCCCGTTACCAATCATACACCATCTCCCAATTTTATATTCAACGTTTCGGGAACAATATTGTAGAATAATGGAAAAGTAACTCAAGAAGAAATGTTTGTTAGTTTAATTAATGAAATAAGTAAAGCATAAACGTAATGACAATCTTAGTTATCTTAGTTATCTTGAGACAATTAAAACCTAAGTTATAGTACAAACTTAAGATAAGACTATTATAAAACTTTAACTTTAGGCTTGTTGCTTTAATAAAACATTTACCAGGTTCCATTCCTGTATTTATTAAGATCAGACAACTTTATTCAACAGGTATCTGTGAAGCTGTCAAATAATGCTGACTTCAGTTTTGTAGATGGAAATGGAAACAGTTTCAATCCAGGTGGTGATGGTTGGACAAAGGTAAATATACTTTATATAAAACACTGCCGCCTGTGAAAGAATTACAAAACGCGTTGTAGGAGAGGAAAATACTTTTGTCGACAAGAAACAATGAAATACTACGTTAAACTCAACATTTAAGTAAAAAACAAAGCTTATGCACCTTTTGATTTTTGTAAACGACATCATCCATTACAGAACTGTCTACAATCGTTGTATTGAACACATCTGGTTTACACTTATGTTAGGGAATGTGTCATTCCAAAATTCTACTGTTCTTTGCTTTATAGCTGGACATGAAGAACTAAGAACTAAATAGGATAAAATGAGCGTTGTGTTTTTTATTGTTCTTTAATAAAACGCATCTAAGATCTCAGGCTTATAATTCAGTACACCAGACGCGCATTTTATCTACACAAGATGCATAAAATAAGTTGGAAGACAAAATCAGTTACGATGTAAAAGGACATAAAAAAAAAAAAATGTTGACCCAAATATGACGATGTTCATCTATGCTTGGGGTAGTAAAACATGAGTATTTTGTATTAATGGTCTGTCATATCACCACATGAGTGTGGATTACTGGGATGCTGATATCCTCTTGCAGAAACGCCCCAAGCAGGAGATTCTACCCAATTGTTGAAAAAACTCACCACAGTTACAAAGCTTATCGTACATGTCTTCCTTGACACCAACCGATTTTTTATTTGAAATCGTTTTTGTTCTGGTAGAACCTTGCCATATTGGACAATTTGGTATTTCTTGTGAGATAATTGTATACAAAGTTAACCTTCCAATAGACTGAACGTCAATTCATTTTGAATTATGAAATAAACATCGTATTTACCTTTAGGCATTATTAATATAATTACTATTTTTATCATGTTTATCATTGATTATAAGATAACAGAAAAAGACAAACGTCTGGGAAATACCAACAGTACCATTGAAAGCGGTAAAAAAGGAACACACAAACATTAGTCTACTACACAATACACATACAACTAAATATTGAGCAGTTCTAATCGAAAAATATGATAATGAGACTGATCAAGGCAGCCATTTATTTTTAATTGTAATTTTCTCTTTGCGGGAATCAAAGCAAAAGTGAAAATTGAATGGAAGACAAAACAAGCAGTAGACAGCCGACAAAATTTGAAATTGAGTGTCTTAAATTTGCATTAAATATTTATATAGGAAGTGAAGCAAACATTAATCAATAAATTAATTAAATAGTGCCGTCGTGATCGTGAAAACAAGTTTCATACTTCTACCATATCCACTTGATTCAATTCTTATCACTAACCATCAAATATCTTGAAAAATGTTTTTTAATTCACTATTATATTTCACCCAGCCAATGTATTTGAACATTATTTAGACACAACATCATGCTGCGCATGTCATCCTCATGATTTCGTGATTATGTTATTTAAGAAATGGAATTATGCTAAGTTTTGACGTTAATTTCGAAAATGCAATGTGTTTGTTTTTACGTCAGCCTGTGCTTGTAAAGAAAGACAGTGTTAATTCTGTGTATTTCCCTATCAAACCAACTGCACTTGGTAAAATATTACTGAAGGGAACTGCTAGATCTACTCAAGGTGCAGATGCTGTTGAACGGGAGTTTCTCATAGAGGTAAGTTTACCCGTTAAGCATTGTTTTGTCGTACTGTATACAATTGGATTTCCCTATGCCGGTTTGGTTGTGCTGAAGAAGTATTTAAGAAATAACTCTTTCATGCCATGCTCTATACTCATTTAATCATAGGGTAGGCATTATATTTGTCAACCTTTTTATATAGAGCGTTTCAGGAAAATTTTGAACTTTCTTCCAATCTGAATTTTTAAGACACGTTCGAAAGGCAGCCATTTTGATTTGATGAAGCACAAACGCTCTAGAAAACCATATGTTTCAAGATTTAAAAATGAATTGCAACAACAAGAGAAAGGTCAATTTTGGTTTCAGACGTTGTTCAATAATCAATTGACGTTACAATTTTAATTGTGACGACATGCACTTGCGCTCCATCTTCTTTTAATTAGAAGACGGATTTGTTTAAAAAGCGAAAACAAGAGCAAATTGTGCACCTTTTAATGTTACAAATGATTAGGAAAACTACAGAAAGACAAGTTAAAAAGAAAACTTTCCAAATATTTCGAAACATAGCATTCGTTTCTCAGTTTAAATATCAATTTTGAAATTATGAATTTGAATTGTATTGGTAGTCACATATGCTGACAAGTATTCTGTTATATGACACCGATGATAAACAATGACACAAATTTAATTCAAATTAACCAATAAACTTCAATGAATAAATGGGCCAGTTTGGCAGGCGATATTGATAGCCATTAAGCACCACTTTAAAATGACAATTAGACTTGTACAAGGTCATTCGTTTCTCAGACTGTTTATGGCATATTTAAAACTAAATCCGTTGGATGTGTAATGGTTGATACTTTAGTCTGGGAGAACGTGATTTATTTATTAGTTGTAATTGGCTTCGAACAAGCTTTTAATAACTGCGATGACTCTAATTTCGGTACTTTGTTTCTATTGTTTTTAGGTTATTTGTTTTTGTGCCTTGTACCGATCATTTGAGTTAGGACAATTGCTACTGATTTTTACAGTTTTTTCTTATGTTTTGCTGTTAAACCATTCCCAGGTTAAGGGAAGGGTTAGCGCTCACAAACAGGTTTAATCTTGCCACATGCTTTATATGCCTGTCCCATGTCAGGAGCTTGTAGTTTAGTGGTTGTCGTTGGTTCATGTCTGTCATATCTGTTGTTTTTTTTTAATTGATTTGTTATAAACAAGGCCATTGGTTTTCTAGTTTGAATTGTTTCATATTTTCTTTATGTCAGGGCCTTTTATAGTCGACTATACGGTATGGGTTTTTCGCATTGTTGAAGGCCGTACGGTTGCCTATAATTGCTTACATGCACTTTATTTGAACTCTGATGGATATTGTCTCATTTGCACATACACCATATACTTATTTATAAAATGAAGTAACATTAACGAAACTGCACCTTCCTTTTTAAAATCTTAATCATAGTAAATGTTTTGTGGCTAATGATTTTTGATTGCCTCCTTGTATCCACTTCCTTTTTTATGTTAAGATAATATTGTTCACAAATACACTTATGCTAGGGAAACCTTTACTCTGGAACTATGTGCTGATGAGTAGCAGTACAAAATTTATTATTCTCCAAGCTAACGTGCATTTCTTACCAATAATAACCAGTAAATTTCAACCCAACTTCCCTTTTATATGTCGTATTCTATTTCAATAAGCCATTATTTTCCCTGAAGCTTCAAATGTGCGTTTTAAGAAGCATGACTGAGTGATATAAATTTACTCGATCGGGCATGTCAATGCAAAATTTTCTTTTAACTATATTGTAGGCAGAAGGTATAAAACAAAGCTATAACGTACCATTACTTATGGACCTTCGACAACAAAGAAGCTTTACAGACAATATACCTTTGTCATTCCCTCCAAATCTTGTAAAAGATTCAGAGTTTATTAAGATACAAGTTATCGGTGAGTTTCAAACGTTATATGTATATACTTCCTTTCTTTTGTGCATAGTTTATTCTCTCTATACAATATTGTTCGCTGTGATTTTTTTTGTAGACAAAAACTGTTGATTGCATACAATAATGTCAATAAGGCAATTACAAAATTTAACCTCATGAAAGGAGGAATAACGAAAACCATATCATGTAATGAGCCATTTAATTTCACAAGGTTATCAACTAATGAAAAATCGTTCTATTGTACTATGCCGCGATAATTGTATTTCAGATATTGTTATCTCACTTTTGATCTTGCTGTCTTTTCACGGTTGGGGTCAGAACAATGTCGATTTTTATTGTATATTGTATAACAGAGAAGGCAACATGTAATAAATAAGAAGGTTAAGCTGTAAAAAAGGTGTCTAAATAACAGAATAAACACAGTTATGGTAGCTGATAGAAATATATAAGTACGATTTTTTCTCAGTGTTCTTCCAGTTTAATGTTGTATATAAGCACACACTAATAAAGTTGTCTACCTACAGCATAGTTCAGCATGGCGGAAACGCCATTTGTAAATATATTAGGAAACGAAAATTTATATTCTATTTATCTTTCAAAATTTAATTTACTCTCTATGAGAATAAGACGATTAGGTATGATTGCCAATGAGAAATTATTCATAAAACTACATGACAAAGATGTAAACAGTTACAAGCCACCACCTGTTGGCAATAAAAATGTAGTATTTTTGCTTATAAATTGTTCTATTACTATAGTAAGTATGATAACTATTGTCTTATCAGGAGATTTACTGGGGGCAACATTGGCCGGATTAGGAGACCTGCTTAAGACTTCCGCAGGAAGTGGAGAACAAAATATGGTTGCTTTCACCCCTAATGTTTACGTTAGTGCTTATCTGAAAGTAGCTAACCAACTAACAGAAGAAATTAAAAAGAAGACAGCCAAATTTCTGGAGGGAGGTAATATAACGTTTCTAATCATCGGTCATTGTGTATACTTTAATAAAACATGTGATGATATACAGATAACTAAAAGAGAGGCAAAAGAAACCAAAAGGATATTCAAACTCATAAGTCGAAGACAAACTGACAACGCGATAACAAAAAACAAAAACGACCAAACGGCAGAAAACAGTCTACAAAGAACAACATAGAAAACAAAAGACTGATCTACACGAATCATCTCCACTAACCGGGGGAGGTCTCATGTGCTCCGGAAAAGTAAACAGATTCTTATCTACACGTTACATCCGTCGTGTTGATGATGTAAGTACAAATTCGGTGCTGAATAAAGGTAATAGTAGTATATCGTTGTTCAATAGTCATAAATCGATTTAACTGAAACAAATCCGGGACACAAACCAAAACTGAGGGAAACAAATCAACTATGAGAGGAAACAAAACGGAACAACAGAAAAACTGAACTGCTACAAAAACAAACGCCAACATACATAGAAACGGACTAAGTGATAACAACTGCCATATTCCTGACTTGATACAGGACATTTTAAGAAAAAATGGTGGGTTGAACCTGGTTTTATGGGTGCCAAACATCCTGCTTATATGGCAAAATACCGCTAAAATGACAACATTACGTAACAGGAATACAGTACAAATAAATGCAAGAACATTCAAGACAGAGAAATACATAAATAAATAATATAATAGTACACTTCAACGTGTAAACCACAGAATAACAACGAACACCTAAAATTAATTTACGACAGAACACAAATACAGCTCAATAGAATAAAGAACTGTATGTCACAGGAATGTATCAACGCCACAAAAAGTGACGTCACAGGTAAATTTCTAAAAATAGAATATAAAATTGGGATTAAGTTTGTAATGGTGTTATTTGATGTATTTTCTAACCATTACAAGAATATTAATATAGAAGATAAGTCTGATAAGGTGATGTTAGATTTGAGGAAAGGGATAGGAATATGTCTACGACAATATTGATATATTCGTCATTATCTGTAAAACAAATATTCTACAACGATCAACTTACTTGTAAAGGCGTCAGTAAAATTTTCGATGGGATGACTTAAAGAATATTAACGTTATGTTACCTATTTTACTGACAATTAAAGTCTCTGCAGTGATGCTCGAGGATAAACATTTGAAAATCCAAAACCACTTGACCTCTTGGAACTCTTGGTTCAATAGCCTCCTTGTATGCAGATACGCTCAATCAAGTATATAATGATAGAAAACGCTCGTAAACTACGTATTAACTGGGAGGTATATGCGGCATATGAAGATGCTGGCGGAATGTGGCTAGTTAAAAATGTAAAGTTCACCGTTGCAAAGCTGACATCATCATTTGTGTCGTAAAACTTTGTTCTCAATCCGATGAATTATAATTCTCTAGTCAAAACTGAAGCTTCTGCGAACCATTTATATTCTGTGTGATATTAAAACCAGAGAATAGTTTGGTAATTTGAGGTCTTTTTGTCATTAAAAGCGAATAGAAAAAAGAAAAAGAACGAATAAATTAGAAATGAAGACCCCAGATTGATTGTAAAATGAAATTAACAACTGATTTTGTAAAGATCAATCAACCAAGAAGTAGAAAAAAGTTTTTTTTATTTGTTTACAAGGAAAAACGTAATGTTAAAGAAAGGCGAAAGATAACAAATTTAAGGGACATTCAAACTCGTAAGTCGAAAATAAACAGACAACGCCACGCCACTAGACTGAGTAACCCGAACCCCACCAAAACCAAAGGTGCTCTAGAAGGGTAAGCAGATCCACAAGTGGCACCCGTAGTGTTGCTCATGTAATTACAAACCAGGTGATAAGTCTTAACTAGGTAGGTCACATTCGAGGAAAAGAGGGTGGGATTGTGGTTACGACAATTGAAACATATCTGTCGTCATCTGTAAAACAGATACTCTTTAACGGTTGACTAACTCGTAATGGCGTTCGTATAATTTAAGAAGGGATAGTTTTCACTTCATCACATGGAACTTTTGTTATAAAGCCTCCTTGAAAACGGCAAACCTCTAACAATGTTATCATGATAGTAAATGCAAGAAGAGACAAATAAAGGTAACACAAAAAACATGAACTCCAAAACGAGCGAAACTGGGAACGTCTATATGGTAGTCGTCTTTTGTAATGCATATATCATCCGCGATGCCATTCCAAATTCAGTCTTAATGCTAGTCATGTATCTAAAGATCTAAGACCGAAAACATACCGCTAGCGAGTTGAAACACATACATCGTATTTAATCAATTCGTGATGGTGACCGTACAACTTATGCCATGTTGATTTTAGTGATTCTTCCACATGTTAAGCGGACCAACAACATGAAGTATCAAATAGGTCGGTTAATTTTACAGCTTACTATTGTAATACATTTTATGTCCGTCTTTTTTTTTCAGGTTAACCGCATTTGTAGTTAAATCCTTTTCCCAAGCTGCAGACCTAACATTTATTGACATTAACGTAATGACAAAAGCTATTCAATGGCTTATTAGGCAGCAGGATCCATCAGGAGCATTCAATGAACCGGGGATTGTAATTCATAAGGAAATGCAGGTCAGTATCATTTTTTAACTTTTTCATTATCAAATACTAAGTATATCATGAAAGGAATATCAAACTGATTACAATGCTTGCATCACAAAAAAAGAAACGCTGGAAAAGGAATAATATCTACGCTTTAAGAATGCATAACATTTTGAGTGAGTGTTACATTATCCGATCAAGACGACGTTGTCAACAGCATTTAAGAAAAAGAAATTGTTTATAATGCGTACTACCATTGAGAAGATGATAAAGAGAGGCGAAAGATACCAAACGGACATTCAAACTCATAAGTCGAAAATGAACTACCAATGCCATTTCAAACGACAAACAACAGTATACAAAACACAACATAGAAAACTAAAGAATGGGCAAGATGAACCTCAATAAAAAAACCCAGGGGTGATATCAGGTGCTGTGGATGGGTAAGCATTTCCTGCTCCATATGTGGCACACGTCATGTTGCTCACATATGTAAAACCCATTTGATTAGATGTGAGTTAGTTTGGAAGATTAAAATCCGATCGCTACAGTTGGTATGGTGATGTATCTGTAATCAAATAATCAAATTCTAATAGATATCTTACCTTTGAAATATACTAAGTATAAGATTTCAATCATATCTGTATATCACTATTGATTTTAGTGTTCATATTACAGGGAGGTTCTGTTTCGAGTAAAAGAAGTCTTACAGCATTTGTCCTCATCGCACTTCACGAAGCAAGAGCTAATAATCAAGTACCTCCAAAGGTAAGTTAAATAATCCACTCATTATTATCAAATTACATACAAGGTAACTCCCCTACGTTTGATTTTTGTTTATACTTTTTCGCCTAAATAAAAGTTTCTGACTTCTATATCCATAACTCAAACATATAAATAGTTAAATACCCATAAATAGAACAAGTCAAATAATGTTTCATAAATAAAATGTCCAACGTAGATATTAATAATTTGTATTAAATACACCCTGAGGGCGTTAGCCCAAATGGGTGTATCTCATTTACATCAAAATATATTGTCAATGAAAATGATAGTTTTCAATCATTTAAGATGGAGGTCTCTCAGCTATTTGATGATATGTTATTTAAAAGCATGATAAATGCCGGGTATCCAATTTCATTCAGCGACATTTTGGTGTAAATAATGATGTGATCTGTGATTATAATTATTTTGTTTCATGAATTAAAACTTCATTTATATTCACTTTCATTTCATCTTCCTGTGTTGTCACCAACTCGTTAATTTGATCGTACTAAGCAGACTTTGAATATCCAATACATTGATACATTTGGAACAATGTAGGTCTCGCGTATTGTGTTGGCAAAGTTCTATTGTTGATGACTATATATTGTACTCTAGATGTCTTTTGGTTATTTTTCTCGTTGGGGCGATGCCTCATTCATCATTATAGGTTTCAGAACGAGTGAGAGTTGGATATCGCTTGATATCAACTCGAGTTATTTAATTTCAATATATTATATATAATAATTAACATCAGACATTTTAAAACTTTTTGAACGCTTCAGAATGAAATAACATTTGACAAAAAGAACATTTTCGGGGGAAAAGTGTGAGTGTTTCGTATATTATTGAAGAATTAACAGATGTCCGTTGCCCTTAACGAAAAGTAAATCGTCATAACCTTTCAAAGTCATCAATGACCTAACGAATAGCCATTTGAAGTGTCGTATTCTAATGCAATTCGCTTAGAACGATAATTTGCATTGGAATATCAGCATATGTGTTTAAGAATGTATTTCATTATATAGTGGTGAAGATAGCGCACACTTTTTTCTAATTTCATAATTACTTTCAATAACCGTTATTCTTTTTTTAATTCTGAACGTGGGTCTAATTGTTTTTGGTTGATATGTATAACAGGAATTGATACATTCACAGTTCACAAGTTATGTACTAGTACTGAAACTAAGGACATAGCTCCCTCCTGTTAAGAGTGTTTTACATAAAAGCGGTTCTAAGCATATTTTTTACTGACCGACTTGAGATAGTCAAAGTAGAGGGAATCATTATGTATTTAACAAACATCATAACCAATCAAGTGTTAGCCTCATGCTCAAACATCTACAATGTACATTCCTAGACAGAGAAGCAAAGAAACGAGACTCACCATACCGTACAAAATAGAGACCATCAAAGTAGCCATAGCAAAAGAAGGCCTTGTAATACCATCGAAACGACTGTCGGGTATATCGCATAACAAATACTTTCACTTACCATCGGCATTCTGTGATTACTGCAAAAAAACCCTTCTTCCCAAGAATCATCATGGATTGGGACGCTCTTCCTCCTGGGGTTGTATCAGCTACGTCAGTGAAGTCTTTTAAAGCCTAGATGACAAAGCCGAATTAAATTCAAATAATTTTGGGGAAAGAGGTGGTCCAGTATCCGCACCAAATCCATGGCAGTATAATCAGCTTGTTGATTGTGGCAATATCTGGCAGAAGCGGACGCAAAATATTATGGAGGTTTTTTTAGATAGTGTCGTGCGCACGCACGACAGTATCGTAAATTAAAGAACCTTTGTGAACACGCTCTTTTATCCCACGCCCCCACATGGCCACCGAGCAAACAAAATCTCGACAGATACCTAACTTCAAATACTCATAACTCCTACAAAAGTAAACTGATAAAAATTTCCTGTGGATATGCATATCTACATTTCATGTTCTCAACGTTTCATGAAATTTAGTTGTGTGGTTTCAGAGGAATTGCGCTGACTAACTGTTGCAATAGTATATTAAAGCCAAAATTCTAAGTTCAAAAGGACATAACTCCAAAAAAAAATGTTAAATCATAATTTCCTGTCGATATGCACATTAACATAGTATGCCTTACTCATCTACAAAGTTTCATGAAATTCGGTTAAGTGGTTTCAGATGAGTTGGTAAAAAAAAGGTAAGGGATCTGATTATCGGAACCATCATCACTCTGGCCATCTTTCTGTTTAAAACAAATATTTTTTTTTAAATCAAAGGACACTGATTGTTTTCTTCTATCCACTGAAATCTTCCTTGAATCTGACCATGTAGGCAAATTCAAGTTGTTAGAGAAGAAAATAACTAAAAAAAAGAAGAAAAAAGTGCTTATATGATTTATCAGTCATTGTCATTTCAGATTAAGCAACAGGTTACTACTGCTATCCAGAAAGCAACAGATTACACTGCAAAGGGAGCACCTGTTTCAATGGCTAACTTGTACGAACTTGCTATATCATTTTACGCATTATCATTGGTTAAGCATTCTTCAACTGATGCCATTCTAACAGAACTTGAGAAGAAAGCAAAGAACACTGGTAATGATTAATATACTATCCAGTTTTATGAAACTTTAATTCACCAAAATTTGCTAATGTGTTTTTAAAAATTAAAAATTATTTACATTTTTATAAATATTTGCATGTTGATTTTGATTTGCATATACTAGATTAATTCACCACCCCCTCTATCTGTACGTTATTTAGGCAGTGTTTATTCTATTTAATTGCTTAAGTGACTTTACATTCTAAATACATATTTCTGTATAGTAAATATATGATCTTCTGTAATTCAGTGGTTTTCATTGGTGGGTGTCTTTTATGTTTGTTCTGAGTTTCTTGTTTTGTCATAAATTAGGCCGTTGGTTTTTTGTTTGTTTGAATTGTTTTATATTTTGTCTTTAATAGCTGACTGACAAATGGTATGGATTTTACTCCTTTTTAAAGGTCGTATGGTGACCTATAGTTGCTTAAAGCCACATCATTTGGGCTATGTTGGATGGTTGTCTCATTAGCAATACCACTTCTCCGTATCTTTTTTGTGTACTATTGTTTGTCTCTTGGTCGGTTTTTTTTTTTAGCCATGGTGTTGTCAGTTTATTTTCGACTTATGAGTTTGAATGTCCCTTTGGTATCTTTCGCCTCTCCTTAATTCTGATCATGGAAACAAATTTAAGAAACAATTGAAATAATTGCAGTGACTGACTTGAAACTCCTAAATAAAAATATGTTTGATTGTGTTGATTGCTGTTTGATTAAAGTCAAAGGGTAAATGTTTCAATCAAATTCAGAACGAAAACAAATTAAAATCAATTCAATATATAAGTTCTGAAAAGCCGGTCAGTTTGGTAAAAATCCCTAATGCCTCCTGCAAAAAGAAACATTTAGATAGAAACAGAACGTTTGCCGTTAAAAAGGCAATCAGTGGTTCCTTCTTAGGGATGTTTCAAAGTTTTCATCGATTTTTGTAACTGGAACCTAGTTTCAGATTGATCATCCCAATTCAAATTGTATTCGACAGCTTATATATATACAACCTGTTAAGACTAACTACCAATCCCTCAGCCATTGGGTGTACAGGATGTGGACGGCCGCAATTCCGGTTGGACGTCAAACATTCACAAAACAAGTAAAATTAGAAGGTGAAGGGTGGGTATCATTTTCTTCAGGTATTTGGAATATGTCTATACCATTTTTTTTATTATTTCATATAAGTATAGATGAAGTACTAAATTGTATATACATCATTTTAAAGGTGGTGAAAAATATTGGGTATTACCGGAGACTGAATCAGATAAAATACAACCTTGGAAATCATGGAGGTCACCACGTGCTGACGTTAGGGCTTTAGGTGTAGAAATGACGTCATACGTACTGTTAGGTTACAATTTGAGGGATGATACAACTAAAGGCATTCGTGTTTTAAAATGGTTAGCTAGACAAAGAAATCCTAGCGGTGGATTTATTTCTACACAGGTAAGCAATGGTGATATAATTATACTATGATATTATATAACCTACAAATGCAAAAGGTATTGTAGCAGTTATTTTTTTTTTTTTTTTTGTAACATGATGTTCACTAAGAAATGCACTAAAATTCATAGATTTGTTAAAGTGATATTTTATTTCATTTTATTAATGTAACCTTTTATAGTTTTCCTTGGTCAATATTCAACTACACATTTAGTCCTAAAACCTCACTTTCATTGCAATGTCGAGTCAAGGTATAAACGAGAGACAGAAAACATCAAAGGAATATTCAAACTTGTATGTCAAAAACAAACTGACATCAGCATGGCAAAAAATAAAAAACGACGAGAAGACAAGCAACAGTCAACAAAACAATTGTGTATAATATTGGTTTCAATCTGTTGTATTATTATAAATCTGTATATTTTACAGGATACAGTGATAGCCGTCCAGGCATTGGCAGGACTTGGAGGAAAGCTTTACGCCCCCAATTTTCAAATGACTGTAAATACTAAAGGTGATACCTGGTCCGTAGGTGAAACTTTCAAGGTCAACAATCAAAATGCTTTGGTCCTACAGAACAAAGACGTAAGTTATAATCGCAATGGTTTTAGAGCTAATTTCCTAATGCTTATAGATTAAGACTATGGTTGAATTGCTTGCTTTGTTTGTATAAACTTTACTCAAGCATTGTAATTAAGATTGACATCTGCAAACAATATAAATTGGGCGGAGATTACGATTATAACACAAAGTCACAATGTTGACTGTTGTACCCCGATTTTTGACATTTTTACCTATTATGTCTGTTTGTTTTGTTCACACATTGTTGTTGATATAATGGAATTCTATGCGACTGTCATACAAGTGAGAGGTTTAGCTAGCTAAAAAACCAGGTTTAATCCACCATTTTCTACATAAGGAAATGCCTGTACCAAGTCAGGAATATGACCGTTGTTTTCCATTTGTTTGACGTGTTTGAACTTTTGATTTTGCCATTTGATAAGAGACTTTCCGATTTGAATTTTCCTTGGAGTTCGGTATTTCTGTAATTTTACTTTTTTCAACTTTCATCATGTATACTCGAAACCAAACAGTTTCAAAAATCCAAATGTCTGTAACTTTTAATAGCATGAAAAACCAGAGGGCTTAAAGACAACAGACAAAATTGTAAATGATCAGTTTTGCTACAATTAGTTGTAACTCTTAATTTGAATAAATTAGAAAAATCATAAATATTAAATTTACATAAAAAATGTCCATAAAAACTTCTAAGACCTTACCCTGTTCTGAGCATTGTTTCCGGATGAAAACAAAAGTATTAACTATAATGCTAACTCCAACGTAAATTCAAAAAGTCCATCAAAATCAAACGTTAGACTTTATCAACCAACGGAACGAGCGGAAAACATTTGTCATATTCCTTACTTGGAACAGGCATTTTCCGACGAAAATGTTAGGTTAAGCCTGTTTTATAGCTGGCTTAACCTTCCACTTTTTTGACATCTGTTTAAAGCTCCGTTTAATTGACAAAATTGGGTGAGCATCCGAAACAGACATAATAGGTTTATTTGATAATTATTGGGATCCAGTAGTCAAAACTGTGTAAACATACATCAAAGACATACAACACAACTGACATAAAAATTCAAACAAACATCCAAATAAATCTAATGATAAAGGCATCAACAGAACAGTTATTGCAGTTGACACTAAAACTGACAGAGACGCCAACAAAAATGTTGATAGTGCATATAGTATATAGTATACACTTTCTCGATCAAGTACAATTTAAGTAAAATATAAATTCAAGGGTAAACAAAACTTATTGCACGTCAGATGAAGAACCGACAAGTTGGATAAAAAACGTGGAGGAAACCTATGTCTATTCACTTAACAATTGTTTCTGTAAAATCCCATTGTGAACTGATTTCCGATAGAACGACAAGTGTTTCCGGAATAACAATCATCATTTGAGCTCGAAAGAAAACGGCCGTAGAGAAAAATCCTTGTAATATTTGAGAGCATAAACGAGAGGCGAAAGATACCAAAGGGAATGTTAAATTTATAGGTCGAAAATAAATTGACAATAACATGGCAAAAACAAAACAACGAAAAGAGAATATCTGTACATTTAACACAACATAGAAAACTAAATACCGAGCAACATGAACACCACCAAAAACCGGGGTGATCTAATGTGCTCCGGATGGGTACGCAGATCCTGTTCAATGTTGATAAAATATGTCCAATTCTGTAGGTCACATACGAGAAAAAGAGAACAGGATTGTGGTAATGACAATTGGAACATATCTGTCGCAACTGTGAAACAGATATTTCATAACAATCAACTAACTCGTGATGACGTCAATATAATTTTCGAAGGAATGATTCTAGCTTCACCACTTGAAACTCTTGGTTCAACACTTTAATTGTTAGCAGCAACCCTCTGTCATGAATATCATGATAGGAAATGCAAGTTCTGGAATATCCTTTACACTGTAAGATATATACTCCATATGCAGATGCTGATGGAATGTTGCTACATAGAAAATAAACTCATCATAGATACCAGGATTAATTTTGTATTTACGCCAGACGCGCGTTTCGTCTACAAAAGACTCATCAGTCTTTTGAAATGGAAAGTTCACAAAAACTCATACCAAAATACCAGGTGTATAACCTAAATAAGACTGAACAACACGGCCATAACTGAAAGAACAGCATATGCAACTTTGGCTCAGAGATATACAACCTACGTTTTATAACAGTTACGTAATTGTATACTTATTAACTAGCAACCAGGAATCAATTCATTCAAAATTTCAAAAGGAAAATCTGCATTCGACAATTTATGCTATATTTACAAGGAAAATGAATTATAGTTGGTTCAAGAAAATATCATACTCTTCATTGACGAGTCTTTTGTATACGAAACGCGCGCGCCTGGCGTGCAAAATTTTAATCCTGGTATCTATGATGACGCTAGTTATCTACCATTAGAGTTGAACTTGTGCAAAAGTTCACTATAAATGTCGACAAAAAGTTTTGTTTTGTTTGATTTGAGATACAGGTTGATTTTACATCCTACCAGTAGTCTTTCTGGTTCGCTAGGTTATTCATTTTATTTTTAAGGAATGGGAACACAGATGTAGGGAAATAAAAGGGGACATAAGGGAAATGGTTTGCATACTTTTCAGCTATTAATGTTTAAAAGCCATATATTAAAGCAAGCTCTACATTGTGACTTTTAATACAAAAACACTAACAAATCATATATAACTACAACATAATTTGAATATGGTCAGTGCTATTTGAAACAAAATAAAAATTAAGAAAGTATCTTAGGATGAAGAGCATGAAACACAAAATAACACTAAAACGAGATCAAAAGCATGCTAATTAATACCTTTGCAGGAAGATTACCTTTGCCCTAGATACTAGATAGACATAAAGTACAAGCAGCAACGAGCAGTGGTATTGATCAATCTGTATAGGACCAACCCTCTTTTTCTAGTCAATTTTATTTCAGCTACCAACAACTGGTTTGTTAAACAATTAGTTTTATCTATTTTCTTTTTCTATTTTAGATTCCCAACACTGTGAAAAGTGTATCATTAACTGCTAATGGTAGCGGATGGTGCATGGTGGAGGTAAGTGTGTCAGTCAATGTTAATAGTAGAGGATTGTGTATGATAGAGGTAAGTAAATCAGTAAATGTTAATAGTAGATGATTGTGTATGATGGCGGTAAATATGTCAGTCAATGTTGATGTTAGAGGATTGTGAATGATAGAGGTAAGTATGTCAGTAAATGTTAATAGTAGAGGATTATGTATGATAGAGGAAAGTGTGTCAGTAAATGTTAATGACAGAGGATTGTGTATGTTGGAGGTAAGTTTGTCAGTAAATGTTAATGGTAGAGGATTGTGTATGATGGAGGTAAGTGTGTCAGTAAATGTTAATGGTAGAGGATTGTGTATGATGGAGGTAAATGTGTCAGTAAATGTTAAAGGTACCGGATTGCGTATGAAGGAGGTAAGTATATCAGTAAATGTTAATAGTATTGAATTATGTATGATAGAGGTAAGTGTGTCAGTAAATGTAAATGAAAGAGGATTGTGTATGATGGAGGTAAGTTTGTCAGTAAATGTTAATGGTAAAGGATTGTGTATGATGGAGGTAAGTGTGTCAGTAAATGTTAATGGTAGAGGATTGTGTATGATGCTTACGGTGATGGATTGTGTATGATGGGGGTAAATGTTACATTTTATTTTTTGCGGTATAGGATCATATGTAGTTTGTGCCTGATTTGCTTGTATGGTCAATACTTTTGTGTTTTTGTCTGAATATCTGTAAGTGATTAGGTTGTAATTAACTTTTATTTTCACTCGGGGATGTTAAGAACTAAATTATAATAATCTAACCATTATTTTTTGTATGCAATGCAACCAACAAAATGTTTTGTCTTTTCTGCAGGCTGCAGTTGTGTTCAATGTGAATGAGCAATTAAGAGAGCCTGCGTTCGCCTTGACACCAACGATACTGAATGATTCAACAAAAGGATTTAGACTCAAAGTTTGCTTCAGGTAATACATTTTTTTATCATTCGTCTGTAGCTAAACGTCTTATCCCTACCAACACAAGTGAAAAGTCTATTATAATATAAAATTTTAAAATGCTAACCAATATGAGTGAAACATCACATTTCACTCTACATAGATAAACTCATCACAGATATCATGATTAAAATGATGTACACCAGACGTGTGTTACGTCTTAAACAGATTCATCACAGATATCATGATTAAAATTATGTACACCAGACGTGTGTTACGTCTTAAACAGATTCATCACAGATATCATGAATAAAATGATGTACACCAGACGTGTGTTACATCTTGAACAGATTCATCAGTGACGCCCAAATAGAAATGATGTACGCCAGACGCGTGTTACGTCTTAAACAGATTCATCAGTGACGCCCGAATAAAAAACGTTAAAAAGGCCAAATAAAGTATGAAATTGAAGAGCATTGAGGACCTTAATTTCTGAAAGGATTTCCCAAATATTGCTAAGGTAATCTATTCCTGAACAAATTCCTGAGAAAATCCTGAGTACTTCGAAAAATGCAAAGTTTTGTAAACAGTTAATTTATAATTCTGGCCATGTCAATGACAATTCATGTCAACACAGAAGTGCTGACTACTTTTATGTTGCTAAAATAGAAACATTATCAATGTTCACAGGTGGTTGAAGGTAGGACAGAGTACAATGGGAATACTTGAAATATCTTTGCCTTCTGGAATGGAAGCTGACTTAGAGTCCATCGATACTACCAATACTGGAGGACAATATAAAAAAGTAGAAAAGGGCTTCCGTTCAATCATCTTATACTTTGACACGGTAATTAGTCTTCATTAATGAAAAGCTGTCGTTTCAATCTTTATATTACAAACTGTTTACCAATCATTTGTAAATTACCATGTGTGCTTGTTTCGACAATTCCTTACCTTTGCCACAGTCTGCATAATTTATCCAATTATTACTTCAAATATATATAATAGTCCGAAATATATATCAACATCATTCCTCTTGTTATGGAAACCTCTAATTACGACAGGCCATTCAATTTGCCCAAAATACCACCATCTGCACGGTTTAATTGTACTTTTCTGTGAAAACAAAATTTCTCTTTTATATTGTCAACATTAGGACAAAACAATGTAACAAAGAATCTAAACGGTTATTTGTGCTTATATAACAACAATTGTCAAATGAAAGCGTTTTCTAACAATAATCTGATTAACGTCCTCCACAATAATTGCGAAGAAGGTGAACAGAGTTTAATAAGAAATTAATGAAATGCGAATACAATTTCTCCACCTTAAGTATCGTCACATATACTTCAGTTGCCAAAAAATTTCTCCACCTTCAGGATCGTCATATACTTCAGTTACCAAAACGTTACAAAAATAATTCCTCCACCTTCAGGATCGTCATAAACTTCAGTTACCAAAACAATTTCTCAACCTTCAGGATCGTAATTTTCTTCAGTTACCAAAACAAATTCTCCACCTTCAGGATCGTCATATACTTCAGTTACCAAAACAATTTCTCCACCTTCAGGATCGTTATATGCTTCAGTTGCCAAAACAATTTCTCCAACTTCAGGATCGTTATATGCTTCAGTTACCAAAACAATTTCTCCACCTTCAGTATTGTCATATACTTCAGTTGCCAAAACAATTTCTCCACCTTCAGGATCGTCATATACTTCAGTTGCCATTACATCAATTAACAGCATATTGTTTTGATTTACATGTCTTGGTGCACGCGTGTTATGCCCGTCTGTGTTATGTTGATTTGATTTACATTTGTTGTTCCTTACTTTGTATGCTAGTCTGTGTTATGAGCTGTCAGTACGACCTATTTGTTTTACTATGTACACTTCAAATTGTAAAAAACGTATATTAATTTCATTTCAACAGATTTTGTCCACACAAATGTGTATTGAAGTAGATATAAGGAGAGTTGCCTTAGTTGCTCGACACAGACCTGTACCTATCAAACTGAGAGAGCACAATGAACCAAGTAAGTTAAAGCGAATAATTAAACATGAATAATATCTAACATTATAGTGCCTATCAATCTCAATTTCCAATATGCAACCTTTACTATTGATTTCCTAGCGAATGTACAATGAGAAAGGTCCGGCCCAAAGCAAAATCCTGTAACACACAACATAAGGCATTCATCCCTTCCTGCATGTTCTTAATCGCCTAGAGTGGAGATTAAAATTGGTCAGTATTTAAATAACTGCCATCAATACCAAGATTCCTATAAAACTAAAACTAAACAAATAAGATACATCAAACGACACACTAACGAGTTTCCAACATGACACAGGCGCATGAAAAAAATATATCAAAAATAACAATAAAAATGTGCGTCCAAAGTGCTTTTCTGGATTTTGCTTAACACTCAAACCCAAAATATTTATAGTCAAGGATGTATAAATACTTGAATAAATGAGGACTAATCGTTTGATTTTGAATTCTCAGCTTTTCCCATTTTACTATCAAGCTGTAATAAAAATGTGAATTTGAGACCGTATATTAAGGACCAGAGCAGGAAAAGCACTTATCTTATATTTAGCCGCTTTTGACTTTGCTTGAAATGTTGTATATTATTTATAATCAACGTCCTTTTGATTCGTTTGGTATAAATTCAATTATGACGTCTAATTTTCTTGCTTTTGTCTGATTTTGACGTCACGAAAAAAAACAACACCATGATCGATGACATTTCCTATAAGGAACACGATCTCTTTCAGCTCATTTACAAATAAAAAATATAGTCTAAACAATCATTATAGAAACAAATTCCCCACTCTGTTCAATGCGATCAAATATTTCTCCATTCTGACATTTAAATTCTCTTAAAACACTCGTCATAACTCGAGTTTTTAATTTTAAGGTTACTATCTCCAGCGGAGAGATGCGGTGTCACATTTAGATGCAGAAGTGAAATCTAAATTTAACGCCATAACACCAGCATATTATACATAATAAACAAATGTTCAAACAAACCTAAAGTAAGCATCATTTTTGTCTGTAATTACTTAAAGCATCCTCATCATGCTCATAGTACTTAACTTGCTGATATGTGTTTAAGAAATTGGTTCTAGAGGAGCAAATTTTTGAAAAAAAACGTTTCTAATACCGGATAGGTAAAAATCACCAATCGGCAAATACCTCTTGCAAATGAAGCCTCAATTATCTTAATATACGTCTATTTTGAAATGAAAGAAACGGAACTGGTATAAACATTACTAATCATACATTTACATTTAGGTAATGAGGTCATAAAGACTTACCAATCAAAAGCCCTGTCTTCCGCCACTATCATAGAAGTATGTGGTCCTGACAATTGTGTAGAAGTCAAGGTAATAAATATCAATAATTAATGAACAAATATTCTATATAAAGGATATAAATACGAATTTCTAAACTCAAGAAAGAAAGAAATTGTAAAACACCAAAATAAATAAGAAAATCTACTTTTCAGCTGAAAAGAAGAGATATTGTAGTTGTATTCATTTCCAGATGCTTTCTGTGGTTTATTCATGTGTTGGAATATATAAAGTGACCTTTAGTTATTAACTTCTACGTCATTTGGTGGAATACGAATACGAAGGCTTTATCTAGAGTTCGGTATAGTTACAAACTACATAACATAAGCTCTATAGCGCTTTTAACCAAAGTTGCTGATTGGCAATCATACTAAATCTTCTTATTTTTGTTATAAATTAATCTTTAAAAATCATTTGAACTAAATTTTATCTTTGAACAATACGATATATAAAATTGATTTGACATTATAATGATTTTGTTCAAAATTTTATTTTCAGAAGCGATGATTTGACAACACTTGCTTTCCAGAGGAATTCCTAACTTGTATGACTTTTTTTTTTACTTTATATAAATACTGTATTTTATTTGAAGAAGTCCGATAAAAGGTGAATTTTTCCTTTCTTTTGTATGTATTGTGCGTTTTTAAGAATGAACCTGAAAATATTTCTATGTATTAACATTTGTGTCTTAATGTCTTTATTTCAATAAACATAATTACGATTGTTTGATCTTCCTCATTTGTAGACTATGTAAAATGCATTGTAACAATCATATAATTTACACCACATGTGTAGAATAGGGAATAGTTCGCACCACATTTGTAGAAAAGGGGAATAGTTTACACCACAGTTGTAGATTATGTAAAATGCATTGTAACAATCATATAGTTTACACCACATTTGTATAAAAGGGGAATAGTTTACACCACATTTGTATAAAAGGGGAACAGTTTACACCACATTTGTAGAAACGGGGAATAGTTTACACCCCATTTATAGAAAAGGGGAATGGATTAAACCACATTTGTAGAAAAGGGAATAGTTGACACCACATGTGTAGAAAAGGGGAATATTTTACACCACGTTTGTAGAAAATGGAATTGTTAACACCACATTTGTAGAGAAGGGAATAGTTTACACCACGTTTGTGGAAAATTGAATAGTTAACACCTTATTTGTAGAAATGAAAATAGTTTACACAACATTTGTAGAAAAAGGGAATATTTTACACCACATTTGTACAATATTGAAATTATGTATACAGGAGTAAATGTAAACTTTCGAAAGAATTTCATAAAAAAGATACTTTGCTCTGATAGATAGGACGAAAAAGGATACTCTTTTATTAGTATCAAGTCATTCTGTATTTTTTGTATGTTTTTACTTGCGTTGCAAAAGACGAATGCACGTAAAATAACCGCTCCACTCCGTCCGTCCGAAAGACCTTGGATAGATATTTTTCGTTAAACTTTTCTTGGCTTCTGTGGAAGGGAATGGCTTTATATTTGATCTGCAGATTGATAATGTTGAGTTGAAGCGTGTAAGCAATTTTTATATCTGCCGTGCAGCCACCTTCTTAAAAGTTAACAATACCCACTGTACAAGAAAAACTGTTACGAAAAACAAATATGACAGACATGAACCAAAGACAACCACTCAACTACAGGTTCCTGACTTTGGACAGGCACATACAAAATGAGGGCGCTCAATCCTCCCCTAACCTTGGACAGGGGTATTCAGATTTTAAACATATTTTATTAGACTGTGGTATTACAGCACAACATAAGAACAACCTCTAAAAATCAGTTGCAATTAACTGAACCCAAAAGTGCGCGTTTATTTACATTCTTTTATCCCGGTTCTCTCCTCGCACTTGCGAAGTTCTAACGGGAAAATATCTGCGAATTAGAGTACGGGAGGACAATAATTCAATAGTAGTACATTTCTGAAGATTTTGATCATTTTTCCGATTCAATGATTTATGCTGCAAGCTTTCACTGAGAAGGAAAAAGTTTTTTTCAACACCACGTTTTTTCTTAATAGAAAAATTATAGCTATTTATATTTTGTAATTGTAATTTTTTTTGTAATATTAATTTGTTTTATTCAGGTAATATAATTTAAATTAATTTATCTGAATAATGGTTGATAGAACACCAAAGTCGTCAACGCAAGAGGTAAGTGGCACACACACAAGTGGTTTGTTGTCCACTCATTCAGATGAGTTTTGGGATAGAGGTATAAACTGGTATAAACTGGTGTTTCTGGTGTGAGTCTGGAACAGGACCCATACCCTGTTAGGACTTTGACTTTCATTTCTGGTGCTAGTCAGTTGAGGTTATCTAGGCCTAGCAGGGTATCTCATACCGTAACTAGGCCTGCTGAGATACCAATGTCTCCTGTTTCTTGCACGACAAGTATGCAGTAGACGATACTAGCTGGCATCAGAAGTGACCCCTTTTCCAGGACTAGGTGGCCTATGAATTTTGCCTACCCTCCCATGCCTATGGGTATGCCCAACTTGCCTCCTTATCCTCAGCCCTTCGATCCGTATTTGGCTCAGTCAGACTGGTCTGGTCAGGGGTTCGGTGGAAAGCCGTCTTCAGAATCATTCGCTTTTAAGGATAAGATGAGGACTCTTACCACTTCTATCCATAAGATGCAAGCATCTGTTAACGCAAAATTCATTGAGTTTGGTAACAGGCTTGCCCTTATGGAGTCTAGGGTTCTGTCCCAGGATCCTCCAAGGGGGATGTTATGTTCACTGATGGGAAAAGATTTGTCAAGACTACTCAGATTAACAAACCTTCTTCCTCTCATCACCCCAAGGCTTCTTCTTCCTCCTCTTCTTCACAGCCTGTGAAGAGATTATCTGTTTCTCGTCCTAACCTTTCAGGTGGCAAGAAAGCCAAAGTTGTAAAGGGTCAGAAGCAGGGTAAGTGATGTATTGTCCCCTCCGTTAAATCCATCCCCACTGGAAGAGGAAAATTATACAACTCCTCTTCCTCATCTTCCAGTGGGGGCAGCCTTTCCCACTTTCTAGATCAATGGTTGCTGCTCAACAGGTTGTTTTCCTCCTCCTAGTGAGGGGGATTCAGCGCTTTGTTAAATTCTGTTTATCTAAATTGATAAAGGTGTGGTATTTAATGTAATAAAAATCAAACTTTTAGAATTAAAATTTAGTTTTGTAAATTAAATACTCACCTTCATACAACAGAGGTCCCGCCTCTCCCCTTCATCTCATTAACGGAGCCAATTTTTATGCACCAAATGAGCATTTCGACAATAAATGTCTTTTCGGTCTACCTGAGACCAAACTATTTGATAATTCACAACTTAATAAAAAGATGAAGAGTTTATAATCCTAAAAGGACAAAAAGTATAGCAAAAGTCGGGCAACAAATCAGAGCTTTGCATGAGGGAGATATAAACCTAAAAGGACAAATACAATAGAAAAAGTCGGGCAAGGAATCACAGCTTTGCCTGAGGGAGATATAAACCTAAAAGGACAAAACAATAGAAAAAGTCGGACAAGGAATCAGAGCTTTGCATGAGGGAGATATAAACCTAAAAGGACAAAACAATAGAAAAAGTCGGACAAGGAATCAGAGCTTTGCATGAGGGAGATATAAACATAAAGGACAAAACAATAGAAAAAGTCGGACAAGGAATCAGAGCTTTGCATGAGGGAGATATATTCCTTAATTTAAGATAATTTTCAAAATTTTGTAATAGCAAATTTTAATTGACTATGACATTGTTCCATATATTTAACAAGGGTAATACATTTATTACATATATCCATACAAAACTATACAAAATTGAGTATGACAAAAGGAATACAAACATGCAGTCAATGAATGAAATGTTCTTGACCAATGATATATATTTGTTTTAAACAGTTACAGTATAAAGAGTAAATAACCTTATAATATTTTTAGGATTTGAATACCAAGTAAATGGGAATATGTTTATAATTTCGGAGACTGACATTTAAAAAGATAATTAATATCAATATGACTGAAGTGGCATATTCTTTCTTCTTTTGGAGTGTTTCTCTAGCATCCGGTTTCTATAGGCATTTTCAAATTACAACACATTAGTTTTGTTTATAACTCGTTTTACACATATACCTCGAATCTGACTCAAGCGGTCATCTCTGTAACAGAGTCTATGACAAACGAGATGATTTCAATTTTGAAATTACAAATTTTCCTCAACTTAGCAGCAATATACCAACTTCATCTGTGTATGAAGTATACATTTCTCAACTTATACGATATTCAAGAGCTTGCAAATGCCATTCAGACTTTGTAAAACGTCATCGGTGTCTGTGTTTGTGGTTTTGTCAAAGATCGTCTTGTCTTTTTTCTCAGAAAGTTCATCGGAAGGTTCCTATACTAAATAGATAAATTGAGTCTTGAGTTATAGATTCTAGATGCTGACGTTGTGTATTATTTCATAAATTTTACAACGTTTCCTTTATTTTTGTTTATAATACTATGTTACTTTTGGTCGTATGACTCTAGACGTGACTTGATATATGTGCATCTAAATTTCTGATATTTGGCGTTAGGCGTTCCTGATGCAGGTGGCTCCAGAGGTGCGATTTGAACGCATGACGTTTTTATATTATTATTTTCATTTTGTGTACCCTTGTTTTTATATTTGACTTAATATGTACTTTATCAGAAAAAGAGTATATGTCATTATGTCTTACTATATTCTAGTGTGTTTTTATATGTTGTGATGTTACACTATTGTTTCAGATAAAGGTGAAGGTTTGGAACCATTAAAACGTTTAAACCCGCTGCAATTGTTTGCACCTGTCCTAAGTCAAGAATCTGATGTTCAGAAGTTGCCGTTTGTTGATGTGGTTCATAAGTGTTTCTCGTTTCTCGTTTTTTATATAGATTAGACCGTTGGTTTTCCCGTTTGAATGGTTTTACACTAGTAATTTTTGGGGCCCTTTATAGCTTGCTGTTCGGTGGGAGCAGCCAAGGCTCCGTGTTGAAGACCGTACTTTGACCTATAATGGTTTACTTTTATAAATTTTGACTTGGATGGAGAGTTGTCTCATTGGCACTAATACCACATCTTCTTATATCTATCTACAAGCAACTACAAAAACTTATTTTGTTGGCGTCCATGATAGATTTCTTTTACGTTTGTTCGGATTGTTTACACAATTTTGGCTGCTGGATTCCGATTATTGTCACGTTAACCAATTATATCTGTTTTGGGTTGCTCTTGCAATTTTTTCAAAAAGGCATAGTTATAAACAACTGTCATACAAGTGGAAGGTTCGGCTAGCTTTAAAACGTAGACAATTTAACTCATTTGCAGATCTTGTCTAAATGATCATTTTTGGCTATTAAGTTTCTCTCTATCTGATTCAGTTGATAAGTGATGACAATAGCTCGCACTTGCCTTTCAAGCCAAGTGAGCTAAATAAGCCAGATAGGAAAAAAGAAGAAAACATATGTGCGTGCGTGTGTGTTGATCACCACATTCAGATCATTCAGTCACACGACTATACAAGGAAACTTTTTTTTATATATATGTCAATAATCTTTCTTTCAATCTCTTCATCTATTTAATAATAATAATAATAATAATAATAATAATAATAATAATAATAATAATAATAATAATAATAATAATAATAATAATGACTTTATTTAAATAGGGTGACTCAATTAGCATT